CAGTTGCTTAGGCTGTGTTTATGCGCGATAGGCTTTAATTGCACAAAGGTGATCAAACGTGTTATTAGATGAAGAATGATGTCGAATGCTTGGTTCTTAGGCTTTAAATAAATACTCTTAACGGTTTAAACCGCGAAATACATTAGTAAATGTATTCTTAAATCACAAACTAAGTCGTATAACCACAATCTTACGCTAAGTTTAAACTGTTTTATCTTACGCAATTAATCAATTTATTTAACTTTATAATTTAATTTTAATGATATAATACTGCTTGTTTAGAAATACTTAGGTATATTATAGAATTTACTAAAATTCGAACACCATAAATTGCTTCCTATTCAGGATACACTGAGAAGATGACTTCGTACGTGGCAAGAACTGTCTCATAGCATGCAGGACATGCAATGAGACAATAATAAAAAAATAACTTACACTGTATTTATTTGAAATAACAAATCGAAACTTATCTATACTAATATAGCTAAAGCTGAAGCGTTTTTTAAGCAGTACAGTAACTTCCTCAAAAAACGACTCGTTCGAATTCTACAATATTTTTTCTATTGGATTGACCATAAATCGATATTGAAGCTTTGACTATATTACATTATGCTCCGACTATTAGAGACAAAAAAAATAGAAAAATTGCAAAAATATAAAATAGGCTTCTGTTGTGTGCGCTACGAAAACAGTTCAAGAAACCAAAAGATATGTTTAAACTAATGACTCCTATTTATATGATAAAACATGTACGGGATGTCTGTCAATGTTTAAACATTACCTCGTAAGAACCGTGTTCAAGGGTTGGTCGAAATTAATACATTATTGCCAATTATTTGTTGGAGTGTTAGAGTTGTATTAACATAATAATATTTATACAAAATAAAAAAAATCGTTTGCCGCATGTATATTAAATATGGTAAGAAATGAACACCGAATGAAAAACGCAAACAAACAAACAAGATAATATTTTTTATATATATTTTACCAATTTAGGTATGAATATAAATAGTCCAACGATAAAACCACTGTAGCTAATGACGTCAATAAAACTTAATGGCACAATATACGCTAAATTTAAAGAGATATAAAAAGCTTATATGAACTGATAAAATAATGCACAGATATCTAGAGAGTGGTTTATCTTTAAATCTGTGAAAAGCGATTGCTATCGGAAATTTATTTCCTTTCGATTGGAAATCTAGACTCTAGAAGTGTTTTGTTTTTCCGGAAGAACGCGTATGCTTCAAAGCCAACTAGATTTTGGACGACGATTGTTTATTACGTTCCCATGACAATATCAATACTTACATTATACGACTTGAACCAGCACCGTCAGCGTTTTATGTTGTAGCCCTAACCAAATGAGATATCGAGTCCTACGCTAATCATACCTTTTTTTTTCAATTTATTTTCGTTTTTTAAGCTAAATAGTGCGATTATCTGCAATAACTTATTAAATATTAAAGTTTTCAAAATATGAACATTATATTTTTAAAAAGATCTTTTTTTTCGAAGGGGTATGGGACGAACACATTGTTCTAATTTCACTGATCGATTTTATTACTTCGATTGATTTGTTACTCTGTGTATTATGATCGAACAATTTATTGTTATCCTTGGATTACATAAAATTTGGCGCTTAATTCTACACGTTGGATCATTTTGTTACGAAGGCAGTTTAAATCGACATAATAGTATACATACGTGAAAATTTGCTTCTATCTATACTCTATACCAATATATAAATCTGAAGAGTTTGTTTGTTTGTTTGAACGCGCTAATCTCAGGAAGTACGGGTTCGAATTGAAAGATTTTTTTTTGTGTTGGTTAGAGCATTTATCGGGAAAGGTATAGGCTATAACACATTGCGATGTGACTAATAGGAGCGAAGATACAGCGAGAAATGTGAACAAAACGGGGGAATTTTTTCATCTCTGTGGGTTTAAGATGCGCTACGAAAACGGTTCAAGATACCTAAAAACTATGTATGAAAGAATGATTCCTCTTTAAATGATCTAAAAAAAAGTCCGCGACGCTATATGTCTATCTTTTAAGATTAACTTGCAAGAACGATCCGAACGAAGTGACGCGTACGACGAGATACGAATATCGTGGGTAACAGCTATCTACACTAATATTATAAAGATTTGTATTTTTGTATGTAACGGATAACCTCAAAAAGTACTGGACCGATTTTAATAATTCTTTTATTTATTATTCACCATTTATACATTTTATTTAAATAAATTAGATTTAAAAAGATGAAAGTAATGTGTTTGTCTGTCCGACTTTAACTCCGAAACTACTGAACTGATTTAAATGAAATTTGGTACATAGATATTTTAGAGCCTGAGAAAGGCTTTAAGTCAAATAGGGGTTATAGGGTTGAAAAAGGAGATGAAAGTTTGTATGAAAAATCGTGAAGCTAGAATAATGAAACTTTCTTCTTTGGCTTTTGGGAATATGAATGGGAGTGGGAGTTAGAGTGAAAGTGAGTGTAGGAATGAGAGTGGGAGTGATGTGAGGTGAGAGTGTTGCGGCAAAGTAGCACATACAACATTGATTGGGTGCCCTGAATGCACCCTTACATAAATTAATAAACAGCCTAAATAATTAAAAATTCTACCCCAAGTCACTACCTTTTCCACGCGGACGAAGTCGCGTGCAAAGTAAAGAATAAATGTCTTCCTTAAAATGAATCCTTAACAGTTACACAAATAGTTAAAAGTTATATACAATTATATACACGTTATATATTATGTTTTCTTTCTTGTTGCTAAACAAGAAAGAAAAAAACAAGACATCGATAAAAGTTACAGGATATAAAATTCTTCATCATTAATTTACCAAAATATCATAGTTTATTGGTAATGATTACTACACGGTTTTTTTAACTATTGGTGTGAATGCCTAATTCGTGCAGTAGTTTAAAAAACTAGTCTCATCAGTTTTGTATTAACTACATCCAAAATTCGCAGATTTTTTATCAGTATTGTTACAACAATAAGCATTTTACCGAACATCAGTTAATCATTGAAATTCAGCCGGTTTTTTCACGCATTTTGCACTAAAATATTACAAAGTTTACAATGATTTATCGAATAGGAATCAAAATGAAACAGGTTAAATCTTATAAGTAGCTATTACCAAAAAGTGAGAATTAAACTACGTGTCCGATCTAACGCCAAAATAGGTCAAAATAGATATAATATGGGGCCACCTTCCATTTAGTGGACCTCATGCTAGTCTATCATAAAAATTTGGGACGGAGCCTGTCTCGAGCGAGAACTTTAATTTCATTTAAAGCTCCGGAAATCCATCAACAGTAATTGGTGCTATGTTAAGCAGTTGGTTGTCTTCTGCTGGAAAGGAACGTTGAGGGTAATCAATGAATTATCTAAGAGGCTCAGCCAGCCACGGCTTTCCTTTACACATGTCCAGATAAAGTTGTTCATATGCGTTTCTATTTCCGCTAGTGCTATCGAAATATGAAAGTTTTACATACATGAGTGACGGCTTAATCTCTTCAGCATATCTTGACAGAATTTCTTGTCATTAATAAGTTGTGTTATTTCCGTTAAACACATAAGTGCTCCGTACTTAAGACTTAGTTTGTAGTGGACGTACTTGATCGAGTGGTATTTTAACTTTCGAAGACATTTTCAACGATTTGCTACATCTTTTGCAAATTATTTACAAGTATAAAGAGGTTAAAATAATTTATAACATATTTGCTCGTATAGTGGTTGTAATTACACCAATTTCAATATCGTAATGTATCTCATTACGTACTTGTGCGATAATGTAATGTAAAAGGCACGTGTTTTTTTTTAAATAAAGTTTTAAGATACTCCGTCTAAAAATGAACGATACTTTTAAAAATCTTAGCACAGAGATTTTATGTCAAGAAAGTGGTCAATATTTTATGAATAAAATTAACTTTGGGAAATAAAATATAAGAAATAAACATTTAATTCTTTAGTTTAATAGGTTTGCCAATAAATTACAACCATTTATCTATAACAAAAACACAAAGATAATAAATTTACTTTATTAGTAATACTGGCTGTTTTTGTACCTTTGCCTAAAAAAAACGTTGATGCGCGCGCATTGCTTATTTGTGGACAAGTAAAAATAATTCCGCGCGCTTTTTCTTTTCGCTGTATTGTTTTTATTTGAAAATGTCGTCAAGTAGTGATGAATTTATTAATTTGACACCGCCACAAGTCTTGAAGTCTTCAAGACGCGGCGAAAAAAGGCTAGGTACTCTAAGCCTCTTGCCTGAAAAATCGACCGATAGATACTTACAAGCCTATCCAAATTTCATCTTACGGAAACAAGCCAAAATGCAAATTCATTTTCAGAAAATGTGTTTTTAGCCTATTTCGTGGAATTTTCTCATAATTATAAGTCAAGCTCATTGTGATACTACTATTCAATGCTAAAAAGCACTATGAAAACAAACCATGGTATTGATATTAAGTCATACTCCAACTTGCTAGCATTTCTAAAAAGACGCTCAGATGGCCATATGAGTAAAAAGTCGTAAGTATTTTCGGCTGACAATATCAAAACGTTCCTAAAAGAAGCTTCGGATTGCCGATATTTAGCAACAAAGGTCAGTTGAAACTAAATAATTGTGATTAATTTCTTTCTCTTTCGTATATATTTACTATAAGTTGTTTATGCGTTATTTTTATCTCTTTTCAGGTTGCATTCATATTCGGTATAAATGGTGCATGTAGACGTCAAGAGTTGGCAAACATCACAACTAATGATATCGAGAACCATGGCCTATGGGCGAGTTCTTCTTGTCCAGGTTAAAAGCACAAAAAATAAAAATTCCCAGTTCGTTCACAATACATGGCTCTTTTTACGACGTAGTGAAGAAATACGAAGCGCTTCGTTCAACAAAAGCTAATTCCAACTGATTTTTTCAAAATTACCAAAATAGAAAATGCACTAAGCAACCCATTGTCATTAATAAATTTGGAGCAATGCCGAAAGAGATTGTCACTTTCTTAAATTTCCCTGAAGCTCGTGAATACACAGGGTACAGTTTCAGAAGGTCCTCGGCTATATTACTCGCCGATTCAGGTGCATTATTAACACTAAAACGCCACGGAGGGTGGCCGTCGAGCAGTGTAGCCGAGGAATACATATATGACTCGTTGAGAAATAAAGAAGAAATTAGCTCTCGCATTACAAGGAACATACATATAACATTTGGAGTCAAGTGTTGACTTTTAAACATCCACGAGCACACAGGCGTACATTCCACCATCGTCGCCGCAGCCGCCTCCGCCGCCGCCACCGACGACTGAAGAACTCTGTGGTCTCGTTTCTCCTACTTTCACTCAAAAGAGTGAGAGAGAAACTGGGGAAATTGTAACTAATAATAATAACCTATCAACATTAAAAGTGCAAACTGGCAACGTAACAATCACTTTTAAAAATTGTTCAAATTTTTATAACTGCTTTAACAATTAATTAAAGATTTATTCGTTTATCTAAGTTAGAGTTTTATTAATTTCCTTGTAAATATGTTATAAAACGTACGTACGGAAAATTACAGCCTCTGCTATCTTATAGGGGCTGCTAGTAATATCGCCTCGGCTGTAATTTTCAACCTACCGCACTTATATCATAATGTACTATAATGAAACGCCTCAGGTAGACATCGAACCAGCGACAAATGGTGCAAACTTTGGGCTGGTTATGCGAAAAAATAAAATTTTGAACTATGCCAGACGCAGAACAAGAGATAATGTTTACACCTGAGTCATACAAAATTAGGGGCGGCGTAAATGATTTTTTTTAATATAACGAGACGAGACAAAGATAAAAATTGCCGGTATGACCTGTATGCTACGGTTAAACCTACCGTCCCATTGTTATCGTTTCGATAATACCAAAGTATTTCCATCATATTCTTTACTAGGATCAAAAGTACTATTAAGAGATTTATTAATTTAGGTTTAACAACGTTTTATACTAAATACTGTCTATACGTTTTATACTTTCTGTACTTTACGCGAGTAGCACATATTTAAATAAAACACTTAAACTGTTTAAAACGCGGCATATATTAGCTTATTTGAGAAGTATTTTTAACTTTGCAGCAGTCTCTTCGTGTATGTATCGCGTTTTAAACCGTTAAAGTGTTTCATTTAGATTAACAACGTCATATCACAATCTTACATGCTACATATATTAGCGATTCTTAAAATAACAAGATAAATGTAGTGAAACAATTACAATATATACGTAATGTTTTATATAAATAACAAAACTTATATACCAAATTATTATACAATTCAACTTTAAAATTAATTTTAATTTATAGTATTATAATGATTAACTACTACTGTAACAAACGAACTCAAGCAATAACTTTTTGTAGATTTTTGGGTGAAATACAGAAAATATACATATTATCGTTAAAGTTATGAAGGAGTTTACTAAGCCTAAAATAGGGGAATTAGAAGCAAAAGTTCTACGAATGGAGGTTGATAACGCCGTTTCATTGCATTTTTTAAATTGTTAAAATAATTCTCTTCTTGAAAGGTCTGAAGGTGAAATACTATTACACGACCTCTATATAGAGCATTGGCTCTCTACACTTTGTTACACGACCTGTATTAAGGTATTGACCTTAATACAAACAAAGGTTATAAATCTAATTTCTTTACTGTTTTTATTAATTCCATGCTGCAGAACCCTACATGCGGTTTTTAGACGAAAGAGCCCTAAGTGTAGATGAAGTGTGCATGCTAATATCCTTATCGAAGTAATATTGCGTCTGTTGGCAGATAACGAGCCACATGTAACCGAGAGGAAGTCATTGACGACAACTGTCGGTACAGTCAAAGATAAAAGGAGAATGATTAAAACAATGTGCGAGATTTAGTCGCGCCTTATCGGAAAGCGTATCTTGATTTTATTAACAAATTGACGCACTCGTGAAATTCATAGTCACTCTTAACCGACTTAGGAAAAGGTTTATACTAATATTATAAAGTAAATTTTTATTATTGTGTTTGAATATTTGTAATGCATAAACACTTTCACTTTTAAATATTTTTTGCTAGATTAGTGATCCTTACTAAAAGTTTATTAACGTAATCCGAAAAGTAAATAATGCCATAAATACATTGAGACACACTATTGACGCTAGAAAGTAAAGTCTACAATATTAAAGAACGTATTAATACCTACACACAAGATCCTGTATATAATATATGTCACAATAGTTGCTTTTTACATTTAAAAGTTTATACTGATATAAATTAAATACCAACCAAAATTAGAACCTTAGTTCACATTCATAACCACTTTGTTTCATACTTGAAAAGTTAAAGTTAAAACACAGTCTACGTCGCGTTGTTCATGTTTTTTAAATATTTGTACAAAATTAATGTGTCACTTGAGAGTAAGTGAGTTGGTACTTAGAGAGGTAAGGAACAACTGGTGTAAGATTGTAAAGGCGATCACCATTTTTGGCTGTAAAACTGAGGGTAACAACTAAGAAGAAGATATAAAAAAAATATCATATAACATGTGTGAGATCCACTTCATTCGATTCCTAGTAAGCTGTTTATGTTTCCTGTGTATCCTACATAGAAAATGCTCGTATTAAAAGGGCTTTAGCTCATGAAATATACGTCGATAAATGCGTAACGAGCTGGTTGTATGGAGAATTGTTGTATTTAAATTCATCGATATTAAAAAAACAATAATAGCATTTTTGCTCTTTAAGCAAACACGATATTATTTAATTATAATATTTCGTTACGCAAACTAAGTAAGTGTTAACTACAAAAAACTATTAAAAAAATATACAATAATCCTAATGTAGCAATGCCTCAACCGTTTCTATCCCCGTCCTTTCCTTGATGTTTCGCAGCCATGACTTCTTCCTCCTTCCAACACGTCTTCTATCCTGGATTTTTCCCATCATAATAAGCTGGAGGAGGCAGTAGCGGTCGTGGCGAAGGACGTGACCCAGGTATGCGACTTTGCGCTGCTTGATAGTCCGTACCATTTTCTAATTGGTGATGTCGACCCTTACTGTCTTTAATACTGATTGACACAATAAGAAATAATGACTAAACGTCATCATTTATTAAATAGTATTTTCTCAAACATTGTAAATTTGAGCACAATTGTGACAATCTTTAAGATAAACTTAAAAAGATCAAGCAGCGGCCGACAATAGTTGTATGACAGATACGGACTGTCTAGTTTAGGGGCCAAATAAATTACTATACAAATCTTATTTGTCGTGTAATTTAAAAATGGAACGAAAACAAAAACATTTTTCACATGTTATTGCACATTATGGCATGTGACCATGTGTGACATGTTTATAATTCAATCAATAGGAGAAGTATGTTTGAGCCGAATGAATCCGTATTAAATAGTTCTGGAATAAACTCGATGCCACAGATATGCGTCCGTTTTCCAGCACGTATCTCTCATTCTTCTCCGAATGGGAGTTGTAAAACATGCCCATTTTTGCGGTAAGCTTATAAGGTCCTGCGTTAGACCCTTAAAAAATATTTTAAATCTGAGAAACGAAGAACACAATGTTTCCATTTTTAAGTCACTACTTATTGTTCACCTCTGTGACTGATGTATTTAATACATTCAAGCGTTATGTTAGATTTTAAAAGTTCAAATCCGTCATAATAAAAAGTTTTGATCTGGTAGAAGGCTGAACTGCAAGTGTACAGTAATGTCTACACTATCCCACTCATATATTATTTGGTACTCGTTAGTCCATTAGTAGCCATGTGTAGCTTATAATAACGGATCGTAGGTTCGAATCCCACTGGCTCCAAAACATTTAAAATTCTTCTAAATACATGTTAGACTAAGTCGGGAAAAAGTGGTTGGTAAAAATATCGAAATTCAGTCCGGGTCACGAATTAAAACGCCGTACTGTGTAGCTCCGCGTTTTCGGTTTAACCTGCGCATTTCTGCCTGTCTAAAAGCTCCAACTATTACCTTAGTTTTTTTGTTTAATGCCATTAACATAGATATTGTATAGCTGTGCGTGTAATTTAACTTTTATCAAGTGCACCATATGCTTGACTGTCCACTTTTGTCAAAAATGGCGAAGTATACTATTTTGTCAAGTAGCGACATCTGTTACATTAAAGAAACGACAACATTGTGCTGAACCGCGATTTGAATCGATAACACAGTTTACAACCTTGGAGATTAATTACTCAGTAGTAAGACATCTGTCATAATATTAACGTTCAATAAAAGTACTGTCGTCCTAAGATAATACGCTCTCAAAAAAGGAATGAAAATTATTTTATACTAGCTGATCCAGCAAACCTTGTTTTGTTGTTTGCTAGATTAATACAACCTTAACAAATAATTGGTAATCGTACCACGAGGTGTCGTCGGTGCCATGGTAGTGATGTGTGGCTAATAATCAACCCGACGTTGGTAATGGGTCCAACATAATTATAATTGATTTTTTAAATTTTTCTAAAAAATAACCCATTTAATTACAATACAAAATAAATATCGAAATTACGGCCTTGTTAACAAACCGCTGCTCAATGTAAAAGCCGTGAAGTTTATCACATTTCGCTTACAGTCCGTGGTTTCCGATTATCCCAAACATTTTTTGAACATTTACATTCCGTCTGAAAATGTTTGATATTAAATGGATGGTCAGGATACGGATATTCTGTACGAACAAACATAGGTTGATATTTAAACAAATAATAGCTTCTCTTAAGTGTATTTGTTAAAATTATCATATAATAAACTAATAACACGACCACAACAACGAACGTCTTTGGTTTCTGCTAAAATTTATTATGAATAGGAGGTTAGCAAAGACAAATGTTGATGCCCAAATTAACTTTTCTACGCGAGCAAAGTCGCGGCCATAGCTAATAATTTATAATTTCTAAGTTTTAGCGCATTCAATATTACAAGCAAAATCTTATTGATAGCATATATTTAATATCTGTCAACAGGCCGATTCATATCTTTTTTCCGTCGATTCAAGTATTTTTGGTTTTTCCACTACATTTATCACCTTATCCTCTTGGGATTCCCATCTTTTCCCCACGAAGTTGCCGAGGGTGCAGTCGTATATCATTCGGAACGTGAAGAAAGTCACAAAATCGAAGCCCGATATTAAAGTAAAGCCAAGCATTAGACTAAGCAATCCACCAAATGCAGCTGCAACAAAAAATGCCTTTACTTCCTCAATAAATCAATATTCTATAATATATAATAGTAATAAAAATATATTAATATAAAATATTATTGTAGCCAACTTTAGGTCAAGTTATTTGTTTTGTCCAACCAACCGAAGGACGAGATCTTTTTCTTAAATGAACCATTATAATTTTAAGACCACAATAACTTGTGCTTGACAACGCTTGTTATGTAAATACACTTGCGTCATAACATAGTAACTTAAGTTCGGCAAACCTTGTAAACTATGAGATGTTTACGCCCGCGATCGAACCGAAAACTGTTAAGCTAGCACTAGGAAGTAATCTGCTGTAAATAAAATATCTTACCAAGTATATTCTGCCAGTTGAGGTAAACGTCCCTTCGATATCTGGTTGATACAAGATCGTTAAAGAAAATATTGAGCACAGATGAATTTTCTATGTTCACATTTTCACTGAAACACACAAAAATAAATCAAACCACAGTAATATAGTTTTAAAACTTATATTAAAATCTTACCGTTCTCACCGTTCTCGAATCAAAGGCGTAGAACGAACGAGAAGGACTGGCAAGAAACTCGCCAAATGTCATTTTACAGTCTTCACATACTTTAAATGTACTACATATTTGTTATTACAGCGGGTTCATTCTTAAGCACAAATTCGAATAACCCTACTATATAAATAGATACATACAAAAAAGGCAGTCCGTTGAGCTGGACGTTGGAACTGAGCTGCCCCAAGGCTACTTCGAGAGGATAATCGTAGTGCTCGCATTCAGGAAGACACTGGACAGCTGATGACATATCTTCGTCTTTCTGCGATAATTTATCTACCAAACAGTGATTTATAGTTACTGTATAAATCATTCTGCCAATCGCCAAAGGTATATAGGTGTTTCATCTATACTAATAAAGCTGAGGAGTTTATTTGTTTGAATGCGCTAATCTCAGTAACTACTGGTTTGAATTGAAAATATATTTTTTTGTTGGTCGGATCTACTATCGAGAAACGCTTTAGGCTATAAAACATCACGCTGCAACCAATGAAAGCAAAGAAACAGCGGTAAATGTGGTCAAAAGAGGAAAATAGTCATCCGGTGAGTATCCGTTGCTTTAGCTGCGAAAACGGTTAAAGAAATATGAATGGAAGAATAATGTCTGTTTGAATGGTCTATTAATATATCTGAGATAGTAATTACAGTGTAAACTCTATATAGCGACACTGAAGGGACTGTGCATTTTATGGCGTTATAGAGAGTTGTCGTTAAATGGAGAGAAGAAACATTGTATGAAAAACAAGCTAACCCAACCAAAGCCAATTGATTTCGACGCTTAAGAGAGTTTGTCGTTAAATAGAGTGACGTTACATGGAGTTTACACTGTATGTCCTTTTTTCAAGATTACTCATAAGAAGAGACGGGACGCCGTGTAACTATAGAGTGGGTAACGTAGCTAGTCAGATTATCAGATTATATCTCGAGATTCCCGGTCTATATGCATGGATATTATAAATAAAAAAACACGATGAAGATCCCAATTCAAATTTTATGGAAACATATTATGCATTTCGGTCGAGACAGACAGCTTTGTGATCTACTTGTCTGTAAATAATCATTCGGTGAAATGGACACAGAAATGTGCTCGCTAATCGGCAGAGGAAACAAAATTTCACATTTTTACGAAAAGACTTATCTTTCGTTAAATTACTTTAATACATGGATTGAGAAGCTAACATATACAACTACCTTCTTCTTACCTTCTAGCATATGCAAGCATCCAAGATCTCTAAAGTTGCAAGTCCGATAACCATCTAAAAAAGATGAAAAATTTTATTTATTTGTATGCTAATATATTCCGTATCATATGAAGGAAAAATGTTTCTTTCTATCTTCCTCCAAATATACGATATATTAAATCGGGTTTATATAGTAAATTTAAATTATAAATATTACACAGAGAGTAAATGTAGGTATTCTGTTTGGAGAGTTCTTAGGTACTAAGTTAAAAATTATTAAATTAAAGGTAATTGAAAAGCATTTAGCGAGAGATAATTTCATGTGTAGGCCCTCACAGAAATCCTGTGGAAATTGTTAAGGGCTGCTTAATATATTAAAATAAGTATTATATTTTTCAATTTTTGTTACTACAAGAACAAATTTATTCACTTTAGTAATCATAAAAGTATGTCTCTGGACATACTTGTATGACCATATACAAACCTCTCAATGGGTAGTACAAAGGAATACAGTCGCATTCCCTTTTTATGATTCTTATCTTCTCATACACCATACAGTTATGAAATGAATATTGCTCGAACTTTCCCACAGTTGCCTGAAAGCACATAACTTAAGTTTACATTGCGTCGTTTAACCATACTCATAGCCGGGCATAGGTCTGCCATACAAGGTTCTTAGGGATTAAAAATCGTAAATAAAATGAAAAAAATTTCGACTACGGCAGGACTTGAACCGGCATCGTCAGCGTTCCGTGCTGTTGCTCTAACCAATTGAGCTACCGGGTCTTAAACCTCATTCTCGAATTTATTCAAACGATTGATGCATGTACCACTCGCGCAGATTCTTAGGGCTTAGACCCACCAAGCTGTTTAAGTGTGCGTTGGTGGACCACAATCACTACCGTTAGTAAATTAGTAAGGATAAGCTTAAGCTTAGACGCCAGAACTTGTCACTTTCGTAGAAGAGCTTATCCCGTTACTAGCACATAATATTATTAATAATACTATTCTCTTTTTTATATTATATAAATGCCAATTTTTTGTAAGACATGTTTAGATATATTTGATAGATAAATTTATTTATTTCCATTTAAGAAAGGAAGTTCATTTTCGGTTAATCGGGAATTAGTTTACTAGCGAATCTTTTCAAATTCAAATTTCGAATTTAGATGACACGTTCGAATAAGCGTACGTAAAGTTTAGTGTTCAGTTGTTCAAATACCTCATCTTGATAATAGCATTGACGTTGTTCAGGGCTGAATGCCTTGACCCCAGATGTACTGTAAGTCCTTTCTGGGGACAGAGCGATGAGCACCTCAGTTGAAGGGTTCACCATACGCACTGGAGAGTCTAAATCTGGTATATTATATGCGTTGTCTATTAACACCTGCAATTTTGTTGTCTTAAATATATATTTCTTTTATAGAAGTGTTGAAAACGTTGATATCGGCATTTTAAGTACTATTACGTATGTGAGCTATTTTGGAGTTAGGTTTCGGAAATCTACGGACCACTAAACGCGATGGAACTGCACAGCTTTTTCGTCTGTGGACGACATTTCGTGATATTCGGATATCCAGACTTCCAGACGAAGTCAGCAATATTTAATAAAAAGAAGAGAAAAAATGGAGGACCGGTGGAGGTCGAAGTCACGATCCGTTGATTTTATAGCTATACATTGCTACCATTACAACGAAGAGCCTATACTTTTCATATTTTAAAATCTTGAATGTACGTATAAAAATTAATAAATATTTAGGAAAAAATGTAATTGTTGATTTTAAGAGTAACTAACCAAAACCCCATGCGAGGCAGCGACTGTACTATAATAGTCCTGGACGTCGACGTTCAGAAGAATAGTCAGGGCTGTCTGGTAGCCACAAGAGGCGACCCGTCTTGGTGTCGGAAGCCTTATCAGCTCTGGACTGAAGAAGTCAAAAATAAGAACAAATTTTATTTTAAATTTAGACAAGTGAAGTCGAACCCACGACCTTAATTGGCTCTATGTAAGTTTAAGTTTAATGATCTACTAAGTTTGTTCAATAATGCATACTTACTTAATTTCCATCTAAAAGTATTTGATAAAAACACTATCATTTGCAACAATCTGTGAAAAATAATAATGTTTCAAGTGACAATATTTTTTCGAAGTTTTTATTCATAATATTCTGACCAACATTGTTCAATAAAGAGAACTTGTTAATTTTTTTTTTATGAAATATGATTATGTACAATTTTTTTTTCAATATTTTCAATAGCATGTTCGTAATATTACGCCTGTGAGTACAATTAATTAAATTGTTTTAATTGTGTTCTTTCTGTATTTGTAGATGTGCTTGTAACAATTGTTTTAATGGCGGTGGGCGGAAATTCAGCAAAAAATTTGAACCCACAGACTATATGCCCGAACCTTGACGTCCGTGTCGTCAATTGTTTTTCGATTTATATTTTTACTCTATATCATTACATAAGATGCAGTCTCATTTATAATTTCGTAAGACTTACCGTTTCTCAGTCGTACTATCGAAAGCGTAGTAGTTGAAGGAGCAACAGATTCCCAACTTCGTGATCACGTGTTGGAACAGCTGATCGCATCTGTATATTATATTCTTCCACATGCAACGCTGAATTAAATTATCGCAGGACGACGTTGGGGCTAGCTAAAAATACGTCAATGAACAATCACAAGCTCTTCAAGGTAATATTTTTGAATAAAACACTTTCACGGTTTAAAAAGCGATATATAGTATCAGTTCAAATAAGTTTAACTAAACTTATTTGAAAATTATTTTAACTACGGTCCGACCTTTCGGATGCTTTGCAGCAGCGGTTATCACGACGAATATATCGCGTTTTAAACCGTTAAAGTTTTTTATTTAAATATGTACTACTCCCGTAAACTACAGACAGTATTTTGGTAATATTTTTTTAATGGTGCCTCTACAGCTCAATGGCTAAACTTATTGTGTAGACATCATGCACGAAAGGTCCTGTGTAAGAATCCAGATACACAATTAATTATTGCATTTGGACAGTCTGATTAACGAGCTTGAAACCGACACAGAAACGCCCCATGCCAATGTCTCATAGCTTTGGACACGAAATCCACAGACTAAGATCAAAGCTAAGATTACACTCAACGCCTTTTTTATCTGTGACTTGTAGACCGCAGGCCATAACCCAGGCAGGTTCCGAACTGCATTATCATTAAGAAAAAGTTAGACAACGGCGTGTAATGAACCCAAGATGCGATAATTATTAATACACTAGCTGTGCCCGCGACGTCGTCCGCGAAAATAGTGACTTGGGGTAGAAATTTTAATTATTTAGGCTGTTTATTAATTTATGTCAGGGCGCATTTAATGCAATCTATCTAAGTTATGAGTGCTACTTTGCCGCAACACTCTCACCTCACATCACTCCTACTCTAACTCCCACTCCCACTCTCACTCACACTCCCACTCCTATTCCCAAAAAGCCAAAGGAGAAAGTTTCATTGTTCAAGCTTCAAAAACCACGAATTTTAATACAAACTTTCACCCCCTTTTTCAACCCCTATCAACCCTTTCTTGGCATTAAAAAGTAGCCCTTAAATTTAAATTTCATTTAAATCAGCACAGTAGTTTCGGAGTTAAAGCCTTTCTCATTTATAATATTAGTATAGATAATTGCCACCATTGGACTCTAGAGATTATTTGGACTAGATTATTTATAGCAGTGCTAGTTTAAGAGATTAATTCAGAATGTTTATTTAAAACAATTATATATAGGTATATACTATATGTAGTAGTTACTTCTCTATATAAAGTTTCCATAGATATGTTATTGAGGTCTAAAACATCTTGAAGTTCTACTAGGCTCTTCTTCTGCGCTACAGTAGCACTAGAAGCAAATAGTAGAAGTGGCACCAACTTGAAGACCTGGAAAATGTATTCCGATGTCATATTTGCCGGCAGTGTTCTGAAAGGATATGATTGAAGAAAATAAAAACAACTAGAATTGGAAACTACACTATATATTTTTTGCTATATTTTTTATATGAATATTTTATTTTAGATTGAAATCGTACCCTGTACCCCAGATATCCATGCTATACCAATTTAGCTCCTGTGTCGAACTAACGTGACTTTTAATAAATATATAAAACTTACTTATCTGCTTTAACAATTCAAAATAATGCGTCAAATATTTTTTTTTACTTGCCGTATTGTTTGTTGTAATCGTACTAACGTTAACGACATTTTTTTTTAAATTTCGTAGTCCCCCGTGACCACGGCTATAATAAATTAAAAATAAGGTAACTAACATATTTTTCGTTTTAAATCATTACAAATGTTTTATTTTAATGATTAACTTGGTCTACACGTAACTAGAAGTTTGGACTTTTCGTGGCCTGCCCGGCCGAAACATGAATATTTTAGGGGACTCAACACTTTTTGATGATTTGACTTCTATATATATATTCTAGGACTAAACTATACAATTTAAAAAAGTTCACCAACAAACGTGTAGATAACATTCAGATTTTGAATACTTACAAATTTTTGGATAGCGATTTAGCCGCTCTTCTTGATATGGAGTTGACCTCGCAAATGGTTACAGCTGGGAAGGGTATATCCCAGATTGCACCCTGGGTGCTCTCTATTACCTGGAAAAATTATACACGATAAAGAAATATATACTACACTTAAATCTTATTCTTTTATTATTAAAAAATTGGGTTTGTTATACGGAACCCCATTCATAATTGTTTTACTGCTTTTACTATTCGCTGTAATGCGACAACAAAAATACATCATTTGGAAAAAATTCAACTCTCAAACTATCCGGTTTTGGACATAAAACAGACAGCGAAGTCTTGACAGAAAGGTCTCGTTTTTACCCTTTCAGTGCGGAACCCCAAAAGTCGTGCAGTTTATTGAATTAAACGCGCTTCTCTCAGAAATTGTGGATATTATTTAAAAAAATATATCACTGATCACTTTTGTTGCGTTCTTTAAAGAAGTTAAGCAAGTTGTTATAAAATAGTATGAAACTGGTAACAAATTATACCACATTTTTAGAATAACCCCCTAGATACTTACAGTGACGACGGGATTTCTCGCGTACCACTTGTATGCTGTGATGACAAACATGATCGCTATTATCATGCTTACAAAGACGGCTACTGCCCAGCAGCATCTAAAAACACGTTTTAAACTTGCTTTTTTTATAGCATCCAACTGCTTCAGATTTGGGAGCCATGTTAGCCTAGTAACATACCAAGCGATCGTAAAGTCAGGAGTACGTTGCCCGGACGTAAAGTATTATTTTTTTAGACATCCAAAAAAGACTGTTGACGATGTTTGGATTCAAACAGCGAATAATTAACCTTTTGTCTTTATGCTCATGGGAGCTATCAATCCCAAATGTTAGAAATGTTATATGAATTATCAAATAATTATTGTAGAGCAGAGATAACTTCACTCTCAAACACATTGTGTTGCACAGCACAAAAATTTGTCTCCCCATGCCCCGTAGAGATTTCACTTTACCTCTCCACCACGTTTAGGTCTTCCATCACAATATATTTGAAGCCGTGCAGGTCTGTGCGCTTGCAAAACTCAATAAACTTATTAATAACATAGCTTTTCTTTGTGGGCCTTGGTTTGTGAGCGAGCTTTTGTACCATTATGGACCAACGCGTGTTCCTCACTCCACCTGTCCACTTGAAATGACAAATTGTTAGAATTATCTTTCGATCGTTCGCTGAGCACGGAATATTTCAAATAAATAATATTATAATGAGAAAGTGTTTGTCCGTCCTGGGATATTCTTTTTGACATAAAAATAAATCCATTGTTTCCTTACTCTTTACTTCAATTACATATTTTAATTTATTATTTTGGTTATTAAACCAAACCGGACGTGAATATTAAGTAGTGAAGTTAAGTATTTATCATAATTATTTCTCACTATGAAATGAAAAAAAGGAAAGACAGGATACGAACCCTATACCCCGCCTGTTGTGATATTCAATTGCGTAATAACAATAGTACTAACGGTTCATAGTTATTGAAACCAAATCAATAAAAAAAAGGAGAATGTGTTTGAGTTTGTGTATATTAAGTATTTCTGAAAATTACATTTCTTTATTATGGTTTAAGACCTTTTATTTTTACGCAAGAAATAGATTTCAGTTTAGTGTAAACACAATAATGTACAGTACAGAATCTTCTGAATGATCTAATTGTGAAAATCTAATAATTTGCAAGGATAAGCGGCGAAAGGCGGGTCAATGTTAGTAATATAATTTATACGGCACCTAATTGCTACTTTTATCCCTAATAAACCTTTTATTGTTAGTTTTCAAGGACGTTTCAACGGCCATTATAACAAGACTAATTGCAACGGTGCTTATCAATAATGCAAACGGAATTGACAACTGGACAGTTGATGCATTTTTTATAAACTTTTACGAATTACCCGTGACATTGGATTTTACGCTCGCAGCACCATAATTATAGACTGTGCACTAGAACTAGTTTTTGTTTGAATTACAAGTCCTGATGATTAGGAAAATCTGTTCAAGGCCAAAGAAGGTCGACAAGGCATCTTGTTTCGATTTTATATGGCTGGGGGCACCCATCAAGTGAACATAACTTTACCTACTAGAAGGTTGACCGTCCGACCAGCTGCAAAGGCGGTTGATCGGTCCATTCGTCATATAAATCTTTCTACTTCTAAATCGATATCGATCACGTCCCTAACAGCCGACCGCAATATATTAAGCTGACGAGCTTGTTTGTTTGAACACGCTATTCTTAGGAAATACTGGTTGGAATTGAACATTTACTTTTGTCTCACTGCGACCAATAAGAACTAAGAAATAGTAAGGAAATGTGGAAAAACAGGGAATATGATTCATCTCTGAGGGTGTCCGTTGCTTTCACCAAAACGGCTCAAGGTATCCAAAAAATATTTACGAACGAGTCCTTTTTAAATGATCAAAAAAATGTCCGCGGTGGTATATGTCTTTTGAGAGCAGTGTGCAAGAACGATGGATCGCGACCGACGTTGTAGCTAACAGCTATAATTTAAAAATATAGTGTTTGAAAAAACTAATTTTGACACCCAAAGTAAATATTCTACGCGGACGAAGTTGCTGGCATAGCTAGTAGTACATATAGACCTTCCTACTAACCGTCGAACAGGCCGCCGCATTTAAGCAGGCGCATCGTTTGCTCTGCGGCAGCTGAACAACGCATAACTTTTCATGGATATTTCTGACTACTTTAAACCGCTTGTGTGTTTGCCAGGACTATAAATGTTCGTGCGTCCTCCACCAACCTATATTTGGTAGTTTTAAGTCCGAACTTTAAAAGACCAGAGTCCGATGTCCGATATTAGGGAAATATTATATAACATGTCATGGCGGGAAAGTTATAAAATACAAAACAAAACCTGCAACTTTCTTAAACGTTTATTTAATAATCACTATAGGCAAAGAGAAACATTTTGTTTTTACATTTGCAGCACCTTTTGTTCGACTTGACTAAATAAAATACAATTATAATGACTAACTTTAAGACATAATATTTAATTGTTAATAACCTTTATTAAAAGTACCGAAACTTATCGAGAGATGGCGTTTTCCTACTTTGAATTAATTATTCTAAGATATAGCTATTGCTAACAAGACTATAACAAGATTGTACAATGATGCTACTCTAAGTACGCTAAAACACAACGTTATTTGAGCATAGGTACGTGTCAAATGTAGTAGTATAGTGTAATTCGAAAACGTTATAAAACCGGAAATCATGTGCGCGGGAGATCAATGCCTTGTAGTACTACAAACAGCTGCAAGTACAAACACATCTACGAAATAACTTTACAGTTCACAATAATTATAAAACCCTACAAACTCTTCTTAAACATGCTCTATCTCCCGCGTACTCTACAACCGAACGAGATCTTCAAAAAGTTATTTCAGAGAAAAAACAAAACAGTCGTAGTAAAAATATTTTCCGCCTCATGTCATATAAGGCACAATGTATGCCTGTGTCAATAACAATGAAAAAAAAACAAAAAGCACGAGAATCACGTAAAGCCTAAGACGTACAGGCAATACGGAAATATATAAGGAAAGTGATTATTATTTAGGTCTGACACTAGAAAAAAAAATTTTTAAAAACAAAAAAAAGCACTACCATGTAACATTAATTGCAACTTTATGCCTAGTGATTGATGATAGTAGATGTTTTTTATTATAAACAACATACCTGCCACGCCGCAAAGAACAAATCACGCTATAACGAACGAACGAAACAAAATTCTAAACCACACAATACAATCAAGGCATTTAAAATTGAACCTCAAAAGTCTGTCTATCTCTTTCTAGCAGCTGGTTTGTTTATGAGTGAAAGGGACAGAAACCTTGATTGCCCTGACACGTGTAAGCCTTTTGTACATGATACTTGTAATTTTTGAACTTTTTAATGACATTAGATCATTCATTTGATAGATGTAAAGGGAATGTTTAGTATTCATAGTAACTATTATTATTTACACTTATCTTATTATCAACGTCAATAATATTGTAAAATAAAAATTAACAAGCTTTTCAAACTTTTGATAAAAAACAAACAGTTTTCACAGGTACTCCTCTAACTTTGAATTTAGTTTTGGACATTGGCATCGCAAGTTCACAATTCTTTCCACATACTAACTAAAGTGTTAAAATTGCCTTTACAATGATATAAAACATTTTTAAACAGGTTAAAATGCGATATATATTTTTAAATAAAGTGGATGAATGTGGTTTTCACCCGCCATGGCCGTAGTATGTTAAAAATACTATAATTACAAAATAATCGTAGTTAACAGTATTTTTAAGTATTCGCCCAGTAACATAATATGATTCTAAGACTTTTAATATCCTGTTTTTTATAATTTCTCATCATATTTTCGCACTTAAGATGTCTTAATTATTTAACTTATACTAGAGATACAACGTGTGATAAAAAGTGGTTTAAAAGGGAAACTTATCCAATCAATAATACAACATAGGATACAGATGGAAATAATACAAAAATGACCACATTACTGCAATTGAATTTAAATATATTTTTTTAATAAGTGTGATATATAGGTACCTATCTTGATTTTAAATAAGACTAAGAATTGAAAATCTGAATAGAACAACCACCCCGTACAAGTACATATTTGAAGCTGCTTTTAGTTCTTAGGGATTTATCCAGTTGTATTGTTGATTTACAAAGTAACAAAGATGTTTTACGCATGCGCTGTACACTTTTAGACTATTGACTAAAATTGCATAGCGACTACAGTTAGCCTAGTAACCGACTGTACTCGACGTAATTAAGAATTATATAAACACAATTAGTAAGTGACCCTACAATTATAGAATTAAGATCTAATTAACTTATCAATTTTAAAGTAAATTATACATGCGAATGTTTTTTTCAAATAGAAATCAGCTGAGCGCTTTTTGCAAGCCCTAACGAATCATTTATATAATTATGATTTATAAAATATAATATATTACAGAGCTTCGTTGTAAATCGTATTTCAATAAAAACTGAGAAGAATATTAGTACTTATTATAAACAGTTTCGTGTTTTGTGAATCAGGAATGCTTCGAAGTTAAAAATACTTAAAGATATAGTAAGTAGATTCTTCTGGCATACATATAGATACGCCGGTCTACTTTTATAATAACTGGCAGTGAAATTTCACATACAGTTAAAATATTCAATAACTCTACGTAATAAACAATTCTTGTTAGTCATTTTTAGAATAAAAAATCCTGTTGGTATAAAAATCTCTCCCCTTTTAACCACCTAGGAGCGATTATATGAATATGTCATTAGTCATTTTACTTAGATTGTAACTTAAAAGTAATAAAATCAACAATCTATTAAGTAATTGGTAATAAATTTTACAAAATAAATGCTTCTAAAAATTTATATTACAGCTACATATATCACGAAATATGTCCCCTAAATGCCTCAGCCAAAACAATAGCCATAGAGTCAAATTTTTAATTACTATGAGCGTCGCTACTGTCCACAAATTAACCAATAAAAAAAATTGTTCGATATTTAAAAATCCGACCAAAAATATCTATAAGTCCAAATCTTTTTGTTGAAAATGTTGGTTTCTTGGTAGACCAAAATTGTTCTAATCAAATTATTTAGCGAAAATTGTATTTGGATACTTTGGATCGTTTGCTTTGGTATTCAATATTTCGAAACGAATATATATAGTTTCTTATCTAATATTTTGCTGATATGCGACAGGTCTTTGTCGTGTATCATTAAATTACTAATAAACTGATAACTGCTTTTTAAAAATACTTCTATAATATTGTACATATGGTATACTCTTCTCTGACATATAAATGCCACGAATAACGACACGCGAGCAAAGTCCGGTCAAATTAGAGATAATTTCACCTATTCATTCCCCAAATTCACACCTTTAAATATTGTTTAAAAGTAGAATAAAATTGATATTAAGCGTCTGTTAATCAGTTCAATATCCCGAATTAAAAGAAGTCTTTGACGCCTCTGTAAATAGCAAAATGGGGCGCCTGCTGTACAGGAAATAAAAACAAAAAGGCGTAGCATTGGCCGTTCAATTATTTTCTAAATAGTAAGTTATTCCAGACGCACACCAAACCGCGGCAACAATAATTATAAATGACCCTGCATCGAACCGTAGATAAATAAATTGAAGAAGGCTATCGCGGCCATTTTACAAAACTATTTGGGTTCGGCGTAACTGAGAAGCTCTCTCAGTCGAGGAATGCGAAGTGTCCTGATGACGTCACTCAGTGATGACGGCGAGACGAGAACCATTTCTCAATTACGTCTCGTAGATCAATAATTCGGCAGGATCGTTTGATCCGAGGTAAAATTAGATACAAAATGGGGCCAAGTCTGAATTATGTCGAAGACGGCATCGCCCGGGCTAAGTGTGGACATTAGCTGCCTATGAGCTAGTAACTTGTAGTCCTTCGCAATTTTGCCATATTGAACGCCGATCTTTATGAGCTTCTCAGCTGCCTCCACCTGCCTCTTAGGAGGTTTGACCGTGTTAAATGTTCCTATAAACGCAATGGCTATAGAGTACTTATTGTAGCCCTGGGTGTGGGATCCCATGTAGTCCCACCCTCGGCCGTAGTAGACCGAACCGTCACCTCCCACCAGGAAATTGTAAGCGATGTCGTACCAGCCTTTCGATTCTATGTGGTAGGTCTGTATTGATCGGACTCGAAGGATGCATTGACTCTGAAAAAAAATATTTATTTTATATTACGTTACTGAAGAGGCTATAAATCCAACCTAGAAATACCCAATGCCCGCGAATGGATCAAAGGCAAAGTACGGAAAGTTTATTTATTAAGTTTAAATTTTGAGATATGATTCTGAGAAATGATCGTACGCAGATTAAACTTAACAAAAACAATGATAGGAGCTATTTATATAAACACGTCCTGTATACAAAGCTTAAAAAACTCTCTGGCAGCATTATTTCAATCATTAGAAGTGTCTTTCTTCAAAGAAATCTTTGTTTCTTTAAGCATAACAGTATTCCTTTACCCCATGTCACAGTCGCTTAATATTCAAAATAAATCACTCTTTTTAACATCAAGCAATAAGCATTAAACAAAAATATTTTTCTGTCCATTATACGGATCAATTTTATATACCAGCGAGTAATTTTACACACTATTGTCCCCTGTCCAACTGAAACCATATATCGTTTCGCCGCGCTTCGAACCCCTCTCATTTATCACAATATTATGCAACTTTTAAATAAAACACTTTAACGGTTTAAAACACGATATATTAGTTAAACTTATTTGAAAATGGTTGCATTGCAGCAGCTGCAAAGCATCCGAAACGTCGGGCCGAAGTTAAAAATCATTTTCAAATAAGTTGAACCGATATATCGCGTTTTAAACCGTTAAAGTGTTTTATTTAAATGTGTACTACTCGCGTAAACTATAGACAGTATTTAATTATGCAGCTTGTTTAACCATTGAGTTAAGCAGAAAATAAATACCTGGCTATCACACGCCTCCGTCGCTGTGTGGGTGATGATGACCCAGGGTGCTGGCAAACGCAAGGGATCCAGCGGTCCCTCCGCTGGTTGCGACAGCCAATCGGATCGATTAACTATCCGCAGATAGGCTGGCGATATTATCATTGGGCCCGCTGAAAAGGTAAGATACCAAATTTAGACCTTATCATTAAAAAAAAACATAACTGGTACACTTAGTCAACAAGTAGAGCTTAATTAGTATTTTATTTACCTGCAATATTTTTTTAAAACCTACGAAGTGCGTGTTTTCGTAGCAATCTACTTGTTTAAAAACTTCAAAGTTATTATCTAGAGAATAATTTAATATTACTTAATTAAATCAACACATTCAATATAATCAGTATAAGACTACTTAGAATGAGATACAATGACTCTTGACTGGACTTGAAAGTAGGTTCGGCACTTGCTCGGTTATGATGGAAGCGTAATTGTGTATCTGCCCAACTTACAAGCGGAAGCAAATTGTTGTAGCGTATAAGTACCTTTGTGTTGTTGAACTTTGTTTTCCTTAACCGTACCAAGTCCCCTTATTAGTAATGGGATAAACATTATGAGTGTTAAATTTACTACGACTGACACGATTATCGCTTGAAAAAAACCACTCCAGACCACATACACCGTGTTGCAGGCTGAAATGATTACATTGTACATCAAGGAAAGAAAGTGACCAAGGCATTGAATAAGTAGTTCTGTTATTGATGGTAGATAAAATACCCCAGACACATATCTAAACAAGATGCTGAAATCGAAACGCAGATATAAATTTCACGATATTCCAGCTACTTAATATCCAAATGCAGTCTAACTATTTTTTATTTTACTTTATGTCTAAGCCAACATGAAATTGTGTTAAAAGCAAGCGGTGAATATCTTTTACACCAATAATAGTGCTGCCATTGAGTGCTTGGTGTGATACAGTTCATAAGTAGCTGTGAAACATGATAAATTATATTTTTTTTACAGATGAAGACACTTATAACAAGTTGTGAAAATAAACATGTTTTTACTTCCTAACCATCGGTTTAAAATCTTTCTCTTTGTGTTGATTGCACTTTGCACTCTACTAAAAAGTGCAATTCGGTTAACACTAACAATGAATATAAAACCTCAAACTCTTTTATTGAAGAGATATTAATTAAAAACATCTTTCCCAAATTAGAATGAGCTTTATAACCACTTATCAAGAACTCTGTTATTAAGAATTAGGACATTTATTTGAACATATATATATAGTCACAGCAATTTAACTTCAAGCAATTAAGATAGAATTGTTAAAATTTAAAGGTAACCACAATCAATTGTAAAATTAATAGACCAAATTATGAATATAAATTTTTGACTTAAAAACAAACAGTACTTTTGTATAAGAATTTAAAAAGCCGTAAAGCTGTAAACATATTTGTAATTTAGATATGTAAACATTTAGAAAAAATGACAATGTAATGTTCGCTTTTGCATGGCAATAGGCAAATCACATATTGTTTGTCATATAAAAAATTATTAACACTTTTAATGTAGTTATTTGCAGACATATATTATTACTGTCAAATAAAACTTGCAAACAAGAAGCCCAAAAGATTAGTGTAATGAGATAGGTTGTGGTGGATGTGAAAAAGTGTATTATATGCAACTGTGGATATAATAAATAATTAGCTGAAGCTTCAGATAATTTTTTACTATTATAATGTTTAAAATGTCATACATGCGCATTCTCATGTGCATTATTATGTTAAAATAATATCTATCAAGGAATTGTGCTTGTTACAAAATTGTAACTACAGTAGTCAGTACAGGTTATTACAGACTACATTATGTTTTCTTTAAAAATAAACTGTCCGTATTTTTGGTTCAAGCTTGTGATATAAAAATAATTTGGTTAGAACAAACCATGCTTGTTTGTTAAAAATGATATGATATGATATGAATTATGCAAAAGAATCAACACTTACTCGAATTACTCACACCAGATTTTTGTAAAGCCTCTGTCGGTTGATTCACAGTTAATGTTACAACCACAATAATAATGACAATGCCTACACATACTCCTATAACAGCCAGTTTATTCCAGGGAAGAACTTGGAGTGGTTTCACAGCTGTAACATATTAGTACCAGTCAATGTTAAATTTGTTAAGCATGATACAAGAGTTACATTGATGATTATTGTTACAGATTGACATTACATTATTAATGCATAATGATCATTGATATTTCAATAATAGTATACAAGTGTTTTTCAGTGTGTGTTTAATTACTAAGATAGAATTCATTACTTTCAAACGCTAAATGTTCTATGTCAAAGATAAAGAATCTACAATATATTATATTCTAATTACAAAGGTTAAATTTTATAGGCAGCCTATATTCTAGAGGATACCCTAACTAACTATTGTGTACGACCTTTTAAAACATGAGATTCACAACTTAGCAACAGAGTTGATCTGCCTTAGTTAATTAAATTACATATTTCAACTTACAATTCTCCTTAGAAGGAGGCACAGCTCTTCCGTCCTCGTCGCCGTCTTTTGTGTACGACTCATTCTCAATCCCAGATTTTGTTTTTATAATCTGTTTAATTGTTACAGGACCATTAAAGTATGTGTTGTTGCCGAAATGCACATTTTCTGATTCGCTAACCGATACACTTCCAAATACAGGGGCAGACGAATTTTGGAGACCCGGAAGTGTTGACAAAGTGTCTATAGCGCTCTGTTTTTCTGTATCGCTATCACTCGAGTCCTCCGTTACTAGTACGACACCCAAATCTCCATTGACCCTCACTCGTTCACCATTGTTGCGAGTCGGGTCAAATTTTATTTCCATGTTGGCTGAACACATATTAACATCCGGATACACATCTTAGATATGTACTATTTTTTGCCTATTACATTATTATGTATTGATAAAAACATGGTTTCAGATGATACTAGCAAAGTAATTAAACACTTGTGTATACGACATTGAGTCAAAAAGCTATTTTAAAATATTATTAGAAGTTAATAATAATAAACTTGCCCAGGGAACAATATAAATTGTTCACTAAATAAAGAGAAATAGCTATACATAATAAACATATAGTATAAAATTGTATGTGCATGTAATCAGTAATGAATTGGTACAGACGTCTAAACACACAGATACGAATTCAATCTGATTATACATTGGTCTGCTTCAATACTTTGTCTATGGTCTAATTGTAATAACGTATATGATTCTGTCACAGATATTTACACCTTTGTACACAGATAAAGTTGTGCCAATTTCCAACCAAAAAACTCATCGAAACTTCTCGAAAAATTTATGTGACCAAACTTAGAGAGAGAGACTTAGAGAGAACTCAGTAAAATACAATGTAGTAGACATTATATTTTTTACTCTCAGCAGCTAAATATCATAATATATTTTCATTTTCATATAATATATATATATATATATTAGCAATTTTCAAAATAATATGTATAACATAAATAGGGCCCTGTTTTTTTAAGAAAACGTAATAAAGAAATATTTTTTTAAGCGTAACAATATTTAAAACACATAAGACCTAATTCCACTACGTATTTACAGTGGCTTTATTCTTATGTTGAAAGCCTTTTATAAAATTTAAATTCATGAAGCATGGTTTATCATTGAAACATTACTAAACTGTTTATTATAATTTATATATGTATTTAAAATTTATGGATAAAAAAATTAGTTTAAAAAAAATTTATTGTATTACAGTGTATTTATTACTGCTCAGTACTCAAAATAGTAATGAATATATTTTTATTACTAAAGGAAAACTCCGCAATTCTAATTTTTCTAAGCTAGATTATATCCCCGGGATTAATCAGTTACCTAATTTTCCTTATTAGGTGTAAGTAATTTTAAGGTATGTAATAAAGGCAACCGTGAAGTAAGTATGTTTTATTACATTAAATAATTTTACGAATTTAGTGAAATATGTATATTTTGCACAAAATTGCAATTGAACTAGGTATTTTAACCTTGCGAAGGTTCAAAGCGCTTCAAATAAAAAAGTAAATTTATGCTCAATTATTTAACTGTTAAATGACAGCGTTTTCTAGGACACCCATATAAAGGTCATTAGTGCGTTCATGAAAAATTATAAAATACTTAAGATCTAACATGAGTCGACAATTAATGTTTGAATAATACCTTTACGCATACATAAATACTAAAATATTGAAATAAGTAATATGAAACGAAATTAACAGTCTATAGGTATTTAACAAATACAAGATTAGAGAAGTTGTATTATATTATACTATGCCAGCGACTTCGTCCGTCGTCGTTACCCACGATGTCAGTCGTGTGCGGTGGGCCGTCGTTCTTGCATTTTGATTTTAATAGATAGACGTAACTGTTGCAAATATTTTAGATTGTTTAAAGAGAAATCATTCTTTCAGATATATTTTTGGTAGTCTTGAATCACTATCGCAGCGCATTTTCCACATTTCTCCGCTCCTATTGGGCGCAGCGTGATGTCTTATAGGCTTAATTCTTCCTCGATAAATACTCAAACCAACACAAAAAAATCTCTTTCAACCAGTAGTTCCCGAGCGTAAAAACACTAACTTTATTACTAACCTTATTTAGTATTATGTATTTTATAAACAAGTTATTGTATAATAATAGTTACTAGATTTTTCTTGTTGCTATAGTTTTCAGTGCAATGTAGGACAGGGGTATTAGTATAAATAATACTTTATTCACACAGGTAGAAAGAACTTTATTTCTGTGGTATCTTGAAGGCTGACAAGTCACATGATATAAATAATTGCAATAATATTAATTAGGTACATTCAAAAACAATAATTATTATGCATTAAAATTGCTTCTGCGCACTTTTTAAAAGTACGCAATTATTATGCTAATTCTTGAAATCCCAACATCATTCATAAACACATAAAATTCAATTTGATAATAATCCAGAACTAAATGCCAAAGGTGGAACTAAAAATAATCTATGTTGAAAATGGCAATTAAATTAACCTCAAAAATAAAATGATGATTGATGAGTGAAAAATAAATTTGTATCTATTGTAACTCAAACAATGCTATTTATTAATCCAAAGTCAGTGATTAGATGATAGTAAGATAAGATTGATAGTTACACTGAAATAAAACAATATAAGGATAGAACAACCATTTTCAACAAACTGAATGTCAACTCTAAATGTAAAATGATCAATATTTCCACTAAGGGTTGAGTCCCATCCAGTGGCAAATACAATAAAAACGATTTCTTCAATTATAAAAAAAAAAACTATTTCAGAACATAAATTATGCTGTCACGTAAATTGGCAACGAAATTCAAATTGCAGTAAGTATTGGAGCGCTGCGCAGAGCACTTAAGACATAGTATCTACAATAAATATAAAAATCGTATAGCGCCCGCGATAAAGTGATATCTACAGAATAATAATAGTAAAATATAATTTAGTACCGCTCACACAATGGGGCGGGTGGTACAACCCAGGTAGATATCACGGCGCCCCGGCCTTAGGCCTGGCTTTCATTGGTGGTGGCCTCGATAGTGGCGCCCGCCTTCGGCTTGGGTTGAGTCGTGGAGGCGGCGGACGCATCCTGTTCGGCAGCAGGAGCGGGCATTGCTGCGCGCGCTGGGTTGCGCTGGCGCACCGTGCGGTAACCACCACGGTACAACGGCCGGCCGGCACCGCGTCTTCCACCGCCACCGCGGAAGTTGCGGCGGAAATAGCGCTGCGGCGGAGCTTCTTGATCATCATGTGGCGCTCCGGCGACGGGTGGTCCGGGCGGTCCGTGGGCGCCGCGCCCGCGGCCTCCACCACGGCCTCCGCGCGGATAGTACTGACGGGGAAATCCACGCCGCTTGTCTGCCGCGTAGGGCGAACCCTTCACGGGCTCCCCGCCGGGCCCGGTCACAGCGGCTGCCTCGTAGCCCTTTTCGCCGGCCACCACGGCAAACTCCACCGTCTCACCGTCGCCAACTGAGCGCACAGCCTTGCGCGGGTTGTTACGAGCAATCGCAGTCTGGTGCACGAACACATCTTCCTTGGTGTCATTCCTGCAAAAAGACACTAATTTAACAACTTCAAAATTCTCTTAAGAGAGTCTCTTGTAAGTTAAAAATGATTTTAAGAATAACTTTCATACATGATGTAAGTTGCAATATCATACCTGTTAATAAAACCATATCCACTTTTCACATTGAACCATTTCACTGTGCCAGATACTTTTTCAGCTGTAACAAATAAGAAATAATGTGCCATTATTTTTTTAATAAACTGGAGATTTTAGAAGAATTTAAAATAAGTTATAATGTACATAATGTAATAACTGAAAACTTTATTACAACGCCTAATAACATATCAAGTACAATACCGTGGATGATAATTATATGAAATAATAAAAATTAACAGTTAGTGAAATGAAAGGACTGTGGTGGTGAAAACCCTCCATTTGCATCTATGCAAATTTGTGAACTGTTTAAGATTACATTTTCTTTTATATAGTCACACAAACTTATGAGAAGTCTGACTCTTTTGCATTTCTTTTTCGACTGTTCCACAACTTGTTAATAAGTACTTATCCTGTGTTGGTTGTGTTCGAAAAGCATTTGTAATGCAGATAAAATGATTTGGTATTTATATTATTGGTATTCAGATGTATAGTGTCTCTTTGAATATCTCCAAGTTTGGATTACCAAAAATATGCAACATTAAAAGATTTTAAATACTTGTGTTGTTAGCATAATTGCCCATTAAACACAGCTATCACTTAAAAAATAAAATTGCTTAAGTGTCAATCTAATTTTATTTGTAGGAACTAATAATATAAGCATCTTAAATCACATATTATTGATATATACACAAGTTTTTATTGTTCCCAAAAGATGTGATATCAAATAACAATACATAAAATTATTTTGTTAACAAAGGACATTGTTTTTCAATTTATAAAATGTAACCAAAGGAAGAGTCAGAATAAGAATAAAAGAAAGAAATATGTTGGGGTCAATAACACAGCTAAAGTAATCGCTTAGACACACACCCATTATATATAATATATTAGTTTAGTCGCTATAATTTATATACATATATGAACTGTATGTAATATGGAGCACCTAGATACAGCGCATGTATTGATCGCGAAGCGACGCGCAGCGCGCGGCATCAAGTAGCGTGACGTGATCAATAAAACTAACCCGCCCTCTATGATTACTACTTTATGTATAACATTATGGTTAATAAAAATATAACAAATACAAATTATCACTCAAAATCATTAAAATAACAGATAATATGAAGGATTTTTCAACGATTCAAACGGCCATGTGCTTAGTTAAACTGATGCACACGAAAATCTAAGATGGCGATTTACTTACCGATGACCTGCTTTTGTTTAGACGCTTTAGCAGGCTGTTGGGGTTGCTGCTCCGATTGCTGCTGAGGCTGCGGCTGAGGCGCCGCCTCGGTATCAGCCATGGTGTAATTGGCGAACGGCGAAGGTGGCTAGATGGTAAAAATCCTCCACGACCTCTCCTTGATGTTCACTGCTCACTCGATGGTTACAAAATGGAGTAGATCGAAGCTGAAGCTGTGGCAAGCCCTATTGTAATCGTTACTGAGTAAAGTATGAAGTTGCACCAATCGGTACTTTTGAAAATCTTTTGTTAGTCTATGTCAGATTGTGAAACAAATTTTATAGTCTTTTTTAATGAGTTATAGCCACTCCTATTACCATTAATTATTTTTTCTGTTACGTGTCTTGCTATTTCTTCCTAGTAATTTTTATATTATTTTTTTAGCAATGTATTCTGAGTTTTGTCAGAATACACAGATAAAAAACTAATTTTATTTTTACAGTAGAGTACTAAGAAAGTTTTAAATTGCTCTGTTGTGGCTATGTATCTTTATAACTATTAAAAAATGTGCAGTCAGACAGAAACTGCTAAGTAACAAATTACTCTGGTAATCAGTACTCGTTCGAGTATATATCCGTTACTACGTTACTTTTAAGCGGTTCATCGGTTTTGACAACCGGCGTCTGACTGCTGTTTAAAAAGAATACAGTCTGTGCCCGAGTGAGTTTTATATAGTGATGTACGATATTCAAAAACATCGATGTCATCATTGAAAGCTCTACATCAATTATCGATATTTATCGAAAACCGAACATCCATGTTGGATCTAATATATCGATACTAATTGACTAAGGGGAAAGTAATTTTGGTTTCGTACAGTAACATCGATTTTTTTTCTTTCAAAATTGATGATCATCGAAAAACTGTTTAAGACTGGTTTAAAAAGTCAATTAGAGTCAACTATCAATGTAAATAATACTTTAAGCATATATAAACAAAATACGGACTGTATGTCTGTAGCGATTAGTAATTTATTAAAATTGTGATTTTGTTACTTCATACATTTGACTGTAATTTACATGTTTTTTGTTGCAAATGTAAGTGAAGTTTTATTCTTTGGTTTAAACGAGTTGTATGCTATTAATAAATTAGTAAAAAGTAAACCAATCGTACATTAACAGTCTATACGTCACAGCCACGTAAACGCTTCGAAAACACGAATAATTCTATATAACCGAAAATTTTGTAGTTGTAGGCGCGTGTCATCCGTCAGGACGATTTCTGAACTAGTACTTGGTAGTTAGTATAAGTTGTGATAGTTTAAAGTTTTATCAGGTCGTAACGTCACTATTTAAGTCGGAAGGTCGACAAGGCGACTCTATATAAAGGCGGCGGCACATAGTTGCGCACTATTTTGTCACAACACAAGCGACGGACACACTCGCGTCCTATAGCGTTTATACTTATTTGTAGCAGTGAAACCACAAAAACATGGCATCCAGAGACCCCGCCTCTGAACAACTTGTGAACTTCAAAAATTCCCTCAAGGTAATTGTTTTTTTTTAAACAAATATCCGAAACTTGAATATCCTGTTTTAAAAATTGCACGCTATCTCTGCAGATAGTAAATATCTGCAGAGATAGCTATTTAAGATTATATTACATCACAAAAAATATTTAGCTCAACAGCAGGAAAGTGTATTGTTATTTTGAACCTGCAATCAGTATGACCTTTGCACTGCCTCATAATAACATTTAGTTATTGCTAATTGTGATGATTTCAATAGAAAACTGGTGACGTTACAAGTCATTTAAGTCCAAACTAAAACTACAGCAATGCCGTGGTAATATCTGTTATGCGTGCCTCACATTAATCCTTATCTGATTTGAAATAAGTGTCTCTATATCAATGGGTCTAGATATTATTATGTTAAAAGTACTTAATTAACAAAGCTATTTGCTAACTCATGATTAGAATGTTAACAATTGTGTTTACGTCTATTTAATGCAAATGTAGTACTTTTAGGAGCCGGCATGCAAATAATGTAATTTACACATAATTTCTTTGTATATTTTACATATTTAAGGTGATTTTACAAATCAATGAATAAATAACTAAAATCCAAGTACTATCAGCATTACAATACATGTACTTTTAAGGACTAATGTATTTCTGTAGTTAACAATATGTTAATTTCATTCAGGGTTCACCAGACTACATCACCACTAAAGCTGGAGTACCAGTGGGTGTGAAGTCAGCTATACAGACTGTTGGAGAACGAGGACCTGTGCTACTTCAAGATGTCAACTTCCTTGATGTCATTTCTTCCTTTGACAGAGAACGTATTCCAGAGAGAGTTGTTCACGCCAAAGGAGCTGGTGCTTTTGGATACTTCGAAGTAACCAATGACATCAGGCAATACTGTGCAGCTAAAGTGTTTGACACTATCGGTAAAAAGACCCCAGTTGCAATTCGGTTTTCCACTGTCGGTGGGGAAAGCGGTTCTGCGGACACGGTTCGCGATCCACGTGGCTTTGCAGTCAAATTCTATACAGAGGACGGCATCTGGGACTTAGTCGGAAACAACACACCTATCTTCTTCATCCGGGATCCATCCCTCTTCCCTAGTTTCATACATACCCAAAAACGAAACCCTGAGACTCACTTGAAAGACGCCGACATGCACTGGGACTTCATGTCCCTCCGCCCCGAAACTATGCATCAGCTTATCTACATGTTCGGAGACCGGGGAATTCCAGACGGCTACAGATTCATGAACGGCTACGGTTCCCACACCTACGCCATGGTAAACGACAAGGGGGTTATGCATTATGTGAAATTCCACTTCAAGTCAGACCAGGGTATTAAGAACCTGCCTGTCGATAAGGCGGCGGAGCTCGCGTCCACAGATCCTGATTACTCAATCCGTGACCTATACAACGCAATTTCAAAAGGTGAATTTCCCTCTTGGACCCTGCACATTCAAGTGATGACGGTTGAGCAAGCTGAGAAGAGTAAAGTCAATCCGTTCGATTTGACCAAGATCTGGCCACACGGTGAGTTCCCCCTGATCTCTGTGGGTAAGATGGTGCTCGATAGAAACCCGAAAAACTACTTTGCGGAAGTAGAGCAGGCTGCGTACAGCCCTTCGAACCTGGTTCCGGGTATCGAGCCATCCCCTGACAAGATGTTGCAAGGTCGTTTGTTCGCCTACAACGACACGCACAGACACCGTCTCGGTGCGAACTACCTGCAACTGCCAGTAAACTGTCCCTTCCGGACGACCGTCTCGAACTACCAGCGCGACGGACCGCAAAACAGTAGCAATCAGGAAGGTAGACCTAATTACTTCCCGAATTCATTCTCGGGACCGCAGGAGTGTCCTCGGGCTGCTCGTCTTCAGCCTCGCGTTCGTGTTTCGGGTGAAATTGGCCGTTACGATAGCGGACACGAGGAGAACTTTGCGCAGGCCACCGCGCTCTACGAGAGAGTATTCTCGTCAGATGAGAAGAAGCGTTGTGCTCAGAATATCGCGGGACATTTGAAGGACGCCGCCCCGTTCATTCAGGAGCGCACTGTGCGACTACTTGCGAAGGTGCATCCTCAGCTAGCAGCTGATATCGCCGCTGCCCTTCCACCGCATATCCGCTCCGCCCTTCGCCAGGCCAACCTTTAAACTGATATTCATTCATTGGGACTGATTCGGGTGCTATTTTTTATACACTCTTATATATTAGTGGGCCTCGTTATTTTTACATATTGGGCATTATAAAAAGATTCTCGTCTCTATATCTTATCTATTACATTATCTTGTTTTTTATATCTTGCCCCCTGTATCAATCGCTTGGCGACGCCCATATTGTTTTTATAATAATTAATTTAGCTTTAAAAATATACATTTATGGGATGTAAGGTACAATAATGTTGTTTTTATAATATTTTTCTTAATAAACATATTGGATTTTATCTTCTTGTTTTATTGTTAGTAATATTATTACTATAAATAATATATCATTTTTTTTAGGAAGACTTTCTGTATAACAAATGGATAGGGATTATTTCATAGATTGCAAATAATACAGACTGCTATAAATTACATAAACATGTCGATAAACTTTATTTGAAGATTTTTAAAACACGTATATTTATTATTATTTCCACTGGTAGAATTCAAACCTATAGCCTATTCATTTCACGCTGGCCTAATACAGGTTGACTAATTGGTTAGTTGGGTTCCGGGATGCGTTACACTAAAAGGTATTTCACCGAATAGGGAATAAGCTGACAAATGTCATCTATATTTTTAAATAGAATGCACCGTTTTAAGCTTGATTTCATTCATTCATTATCAGCCCGTTTGGGTCCACTGCTGAACGTAGGCCTTTCCCAAAGCATGCCACTCGGCCCTCTCTTGAGCTCTATTTATCCATTTGAGCTTGATATTGAAGACGAAATGCTTGCAATCGGTGAAAAAACAATTGCTGATATTGAATGTTATCAGTATAAAATATTCAGAAGTAAAATTTAGTTGCTCGTTTCAGTACCACGATAAGATAAATTATATTACCTATTAAACATTGTCGTTTCACTAACACTAATTACATAATTCTGAATGTCCAAAATCAAAGAAGACTAAGCGAATCAACGAAGATCGACAGCGCGTCTCAATAAGACGTATGGCTACATGTCGCTTGTCTATGCCTATCCTAAAAACCTAGGATTTAGGTTCGAATCCTGAGTGAATTTCAGAGTAGAATTCGGTTTTTGAGAAGATTTCGGTTTTTGAGCGCGTTATGAAGTCGATTCCGGTAAACAGAGAGAACTTACTTAGAACTACGAATAGTTTTATTATTATTTTTACTAGCTGTGTCTGCGTCCTTCAACCTACTCGTGTTTGTAGGTTTAAGCTCTTAACCACGACTCCGGACGCGTCGCGTTGTTCTTGCAAGATATTCTTAAAAGATAGACATATAGTGTCGTGGACATTTTTTAAAATCATTTAACGAGGAGGTATTCCTTTATACATATTTTTTGGGTATCTTAAACCCTTTTCACAGCGTATGCCACGGAAACCCACAAAGATAAATATTTTTTCCCGTTTCTGCACACTTCCAGCTGTTTCTTCGCTCCTGTAAATCACAGCGCAATGTTTTAAAGCCTCCCTCGATAACTGTTCTAATCAAGACAAAAACTATTTTTTTAATTCGAACCCGTAGTTCCTGAGATGAGCGCATTAAAACATACAAACAAACAAACTCTTCAGCATTAGATATATATATTAGTATAGATAGAGTTTTAAAAAGTGATAGTCTATACTAATATTATAAAGAGGAAAGATTTGTAATTTTGTATGTAACGGATAAACTCTAAAAGTGCTGGACCGATTTTAATAATTCTTTTTTTTTTATTAGAAAGCTACATTATCACTGAGTAACATAGGCTATATTTAGTTCTTGATTACTATAGGCATCTATAGACATTCTTACTAAAAGCAACGGAAGGCGTAAAAAAATTAGCCGTAAAATGTCTTTCTTCGCGTACGCTGCGAAAAGCATTAATATATATATTATATATATTAGATAGGACAAAAAAATGTTCGACAATATTATAGCATATATCAATATCTACAAAAAACATCGCGAGAGCATATGTCTAACTATTGTAGTTACGTCGCTATAACTACTTTTTTACATTTAACAAATTAATAGAAATGCTGATCAAAATCAGACCGTGTTATCAATACCGTTTATAAATTTTTATCCAAATACATAATTTAATATTCAAGACTGTCTCAATAGCTAATGATTTGCATTATTGAAATCGGACATGCCATTCAAAAGATATCATGAAATTAAAATAAAAATATATGCCGGCGGCGGCCGCCACGCAGCGTATCGAGTAACCAATTCGACGATATAGGGGCAGTGGGCTCCTTACGCAGAGGGCGCGAACGACATTAAATTTACGATTTTTTTTAACATTCTTATGCTTCACTTAAAAAGTTCTTTTCAAAGTTACTTAGTTTTAGTATTAGGAATCACACTTTGCATAATGTTTGTCAAAGTTCTTTTCTGAACTATCGCTTTGAACGTGAATATTTTCTTTTGTATTATTATTAGTTTATTCTTAATTTCTCTGATTTAAAATAAATATCCTTCATAGCAATATGGCTAGAAGAAGAAGGTCGCAGCTATCTAAGAATAGTGTCCAAGCGAGATTAGCAAAAGTTCGTCGTATTGGAGAGTAGTCTTCCTAAAATGATCGTCTGAGCGACTTGAAGGAAATAGAGCTTCTATAAAGGAATTTGCGAACGCATGCACGGGGCACTAACACTGAACGCTCGCAGCGGTTCCTGAACCAGCGAGATAGACCACGGTCGTTAATAGAGAGGGCGCGCGATACAATTTTTTTCCAATTTAGTGATTCATGGTCGTTTTAATTAGCATGCTTATAATTTAAATATTTGTACTTATTTATGTCTACCCGTGCGAAGCCGGGACAGGGCCGCTAGTGTTATATAAAACTGCACGCTTGTAGCCATAAAATAAAGAGGTCACGTGATAAAAAATCTTATTTCTTATTTATCACTGTGTCATTAAAATATATCGTGTAGCGAAATACATTATATAAAAAACGATAAGATTAGCCGATGAAATTAGTAACAATAGCAATTAATAAATAATTATCGAAGCTTGTAAATAGTAAAACATCTGGTTTACAGTGTAATAGAAATACAAATTTGACTCTGTAATGTTAGAACAAAAAAATAACAGTTTCAAAAACCATATTTCACTGATCTATTTTATTTGGCAGGCTGATTAGACTTATGTGAAGCTCTCATTCCTTGACCCATGCTAAAAATTAATTTCACCATTGAGATACAGTACAGAGATACAGAGTATACAACTATACGGTACTACCGGATAGATATCCGGTGCACATATTCTTAAAAGAATTCCCGTGTTTAACACATCTTAATTTATGCTCTGTATTTTAACCAAAGTGCATATTATTAGTAATATAATATTTTGTCTAATTTTCTGTCTTAATATAATTTTACATTTTGTGTCTGTCTTTAACTGTTTGACACAATTTTATTTTTTTACCTAAAATTAAGTTATTGTGTTTAAACGTCGGCAGTCGTTAAGGCTTCAATTATTGAAAAAAAAATAGCCTACCTTTACTCTACTCCCATATAGAAAAGCCTTGGACGACAGAAAATTTAACGACTAAAATAACAAGAGTCAATGTTTCCGACGATAACCTATGCTATCCAATTTAAAAGTTTGATAATATATCAAAAACATAAAAAAGTAAACGAAAACTATAAATAGATAATGATAATACAGATTATAATAAGAATAATATAATAAGATATTGATTGTATAGATTCTAATGTTTCTTTGCAACTATATAATGTCCCACTGCTGGGGACAGCTATATCCAAGGAGTGGGTGAAGTGTGTATTGGCGGTCGATTTAACGGCTGTCGAACGGAACAAAAAATTTCGTCATGATAAGCAATCGAGTTCACGCACTAGATTAGGGCCAGCTAGTACTATTAGTAATCTCGATTGTTCTCTCGTGCAGTACTAGACCTAAACGAGATAGATACATTATATGGAATCAAACTTAACTTACCAATCTAAAATCCCAGAAACCAGTAAAAAGATTGTTTTATGGAATAATTCATGCTTTAAAGTTACTTTAATTAGCATTATTATTATTTGATCTTTTTTTTCGATATTTAATTTTTTTTATCTATACTAATAAAGCTAAAGAGTTTGTTCGTTTGAACGTGCTAATCTCAGGAACGGTTTAAGAGATCCACAAAATATGTATGACAGAATGATTCCTCTTTCAATGAGCTAAAAAATAGTTCGCGGCGCCTATATGTCTATCTTTTAAGAATAATTTCCAAAAACGGCGGAAAGGGACGCGACCGACGTCTTGGGTAACATATTAAGTTTATAAGGATAACGGGGTTTGAAAAAACGAATTTGGATGTCCAAAGTATCGATTTTCGCGGACGAAGTAGCTGGCTTAAATTAATTTCTAAAACCTTTGCTTTGATTCATAAAGAACCTTTGATTTGTTACCTATATTGATGCAATTATAAAAATAAATAATGCCCCTCTAGTTATTATAAATCTGAATCATAAATCGGTAATCTGAGGGTCAGCTCAGAATGTGTGTCACATGTGATAGTAACAGGAGTTAAGGCCAAGGGCGCCTAGACATAATACTTGCTCTAGCAAAAATATCTGTTTAAAGCCAGGTACTCTCTGGTAATCACTTATATTACAACACATTGTGGCATAACATCCAGTGCGTTTGTAAATCGGGAGCGACTACTCTAGGTCGGGTTTGGGTGACAAATAAGGGTGCTTGTAGACGTCACAAAAAAAGAATGGACAGTTTACGAGCGGCTTAAAGTTATCTAAAATAGATAATTATGTCAATCGATGTATTATAACATGATTATTAGATTGTTGATTATGTCGTAGAACTTGGAGTAGATAGGCTAAATAAAACTAAGTTATACGGCGGTTAACGCACCGGATCCATATCGTTATGTTTTTGATAAATATATATAGTGTCGCTATTTTTAAATGATTTAAAGAGGAATATTTATTTTATACACATTATTGTATGTTAAACCGTTTTCGCAGCGCACGCAATGGTCCCTTCGAAGATGAATACTTTTGCCCGTTTTTTTCATATTTCCCCCGTATAGGTTCGCACCCATTGGTCGCAGCAGTTTAATGTTGCATAACTTAAAGCCTTCCTCGATAAGTGGACCAACAATTTTATAATTCGAAACAGCAGAAATTAGTGCGTTCAAACAAACAAACAAGCTGTATAATATTAGTGAAGATTAATTCTAGGTTAGGTTATTAATATTATTTAGCTAACTGCCGACTAGGCTTATATAGAGCCGTATATACCTTATAAGGCATGATTGTTATAAAATATTTAGATTCATTATCTTAATCACTCCTCATTTTAAGTTTTATGTATAATTAAAACAATTTATAAAAAAATATTTTAATATGGACCGCCCCTGTAGCTAAATAGTTAAACGTGTTGCCTAGCATTGTGATAAGCGCGGAAATTCCCCGGTTCGGATCCCAGGTTATGCAGTCCACAGAAGTATGATCAAGTACTTGCCAGGTAAAACCGATCAAAGAAACGGACACAAAAATGTGTTCGCCCCATGCCTCACACGAGGAAACGGGATTTCACTTTTAATATATAAGTTTTTAATATATAAGTTCTTGAAACAATCTTCTTTGGTATACTTATTCTTAGGTAGTTTTTTATATCACGAGCTGTGGGCAAAAGCTATTAAAATCATTGTTATTACATCTGTTCTCGAATTACATCATATGATGCAATCTTAAAGCGACAATATAAGTAATTATAATAACATAAAACAATGTTTACGATTTAATTCAAGTGATAAATCACAAAGATACTTTACTTTTAAAATACAACAAAAACATACACTTTTAAATAAAACACTTTAACGGTTTAAAACGCGATATATTAGTTAAACTTATTTGAAAATGATTTTTAACTTCGGCCCGACGTTTCGGATGCTTTGCAGCAGCGTTCAGGGAGACTAAAGATGAGGATTCTCTGACTCAGGAATTTACGTAGGCCTTCCGTCGAATTGGTATTTGGCGAAACTAGCCGGTCCTTACAGAATTGACTAGTTCTTCGGTTTGTTGTTTTATTGGGATAGATTTTTAATATGGGATCCCAGTTTTGAATTTGAGGCCGTCCTCCTTGATTGTTTTTTGATTTCAATTGCTTCGCGTACCAATCTTGGAAAAAATCGACTCTCCTTTGGAGGATTTTTGTTGGTCAAGGAATATATTGGGCCCTTTGATAGTTTGGTACCGCAGATTTGGAGAGAGGTTTATGTTTTATATCCGCGACGTGTTCTTTAATTCTGTTTGAGATGCTACGTTTTGTTTGGCCGATGTAGGATAGGCCACAATCACAATCCAGTCTGTAAACGCCTGCATCTTGTAAAGGGATAGTACATTTGCTTGGTTTCAGGAATTGCTGAATCTTCTTGTGCGGCTTGAAAATTGTGTCAATAGAAGCTCGATTTAGGACTCTGCTAATTCTATCTGTAACTCCCTTCACATATGGTAGGTAGGCGGGCTGACGTTTGACTGTGGGTGGTTATTCCTGTTCCTGGATGCTGGGAGGGACTCTCACTTGTTCTTGCATAGGACCTTTGACATGCTGTAACTCCTCATTTAAGTGGGCAGTATCACAGAGACGGCGGGCTCTCTGAAACAAAGATACTCCGACAGAACTAAGTTGGCTGGGGTGGTGATGTGAGTCACCTTCAAATACCTATCTGTATGGGTTGTTTTTCTAAAGACGGTATGCCCAATATTACCGTTTCATCAGAATAACTAAAATGTCTAAGAAAGGTAGTGTGTTATTTCCTCTTTCCATTGTAAACTTAATGTTATTATGAATTGATTAAGTTTAAGAAATGCAGATACTTGTGCTTTGGGTAAGATGTGAAGGTATATTACTATCGTTGTAAAGCCTAGGTTTAACGGGAAGAAGAAGGCTCTCTCCTCAAAGTCTTCCATAAAAATTCAGCAACTAAGGGTGAAACTGGAGAACCCATGGCTACCCCATCTACTGAACATAGAAATCCCCATTCCAAAGTAGGTACCCGTTGTCAAGCAATTTCTAAGATATCCCATATTCTATAGATTTGTGTTTAATAAGTTTGCTTTAATAATTTTGATAAATCAGTATATAAGTTTGTAAAAGTGATGTGATTCAAGCTTACCATAACCTATTGTCCGTACCTTTAGACCTTTAATACACACATACTTTTATTAACATTATACATTATATATTATATTAATTATAACATTTTATTAAAATTGCCGCAATTTCCTAGCAAACTTAAATATGAAGCTCATAGGGAGGTAAGCTGTTTTTAATTATTTAAGTTATACGGAATACTAGCTTTGCCCGTGACTTCGTCCGCGTGGAATACTGACTTCGGGGAGAATTTTTATTTATATTGGGTTTATTTATTAATTTTATAAATTGAATAAGACACTTGTGTAAATACAGCGGTACAGTGTTTTAGAGTTATTTTCGCATTTCTATTATTAGTGAGTTCTATAAAAATTAATTACGATACATCCACACACCTTTTCGTCCCCCCTTACTACCATTTTATCGTACCGCAAAAGGTTTTACAATGCATGTCATCGAAAAAGGCGCATTCAAGGCAGCTAATCTGTGTAGTAAGTGCTACTTTGCCGCAACTTCCCTACTCTAACTTCCACTCTCAATCATACACTCACTCCCACTCTTATTCCCAGTACCTAAAAGCCAAAGAAGAAAGTTTCATAATTTTAGCTTCACGAATAATCACAATAATCACGAATTTCCATACAAACTTTCATTTCCCTTTTCAACACGACGTTTTGCCATTAAAAAGTAGCCTTCCTTAGTCTTTCTCAGGCTCTAGATTATCTGTCTACCAAAATTTTATTTAAATCAGTTCACTACTTTCGGCGTTTAATCCGTACAGACAGAGTTAGTTTCTCATTTATAATATTATAAGTAAATAAGTAATATAAGTAAAGATTTATATAGATCAATTTTATATACATTTATCTATATAAAATTTATATAAATAAATTTATGTAGATAAGTATATACTTATATTATTAAGCTAAACAGTTTGTTTGTTTGTATGAACGGGCTAATCTCAAGGACTACCAAATCGAATTGTTGCGATTAATGGGAGGGAATAAATAGTAGGAAATGTGGAAAAAATGGATGCAATACTTTCGTGGTAAATTCGCAAAAATATTTTCGTGATACAATTCCCTTAATATTGGAAGCTTCAGAGATACATCGGCCTTTGAAGATTGAAAACAATTGCACCATTTTTACTCATTTTAACAGTAAGCCGCGTGATGTCTTTGTTTACAAAATAAATGCTTCCTCATTGAAATGTTACAATTAGCGTAGCTATGACATTAGATACTTAGTAATAACGCGCTAATTCTGCGTCTCATCTTCGACACAATTTCATCACATAAGCAAACAAATACTTAAAATTTTTGAAGTGCCCATACTCTGTTCAGGATTGTGTAACAAAGGATAAAATCATACTATTCTAAAACTTTGTAGCCTGTCAGTCTGTCTGACTGTCGCCAAACAGTCAAGGACCGTAATTGCTAGAGACCTAACATTTTTAAAAATCGTGTTAATACAAATACAATTTTTTTATTTTCCAAAAAATATTGCTTACAAATAGTCGTAGGGCGCACTAGCTCCCAAACTAGGATTCCCTTTGTCGGGGGCGGCTAATCTTTTCCAGTGCATTATAATATTTATTAATACAATAGTTAATATCGAATTGATTACTTAGTTGTTGGTTTTTATATGCTTAGTGATAAGTAGGAAGGATTATATACAATAATATGGTCTAGAAAAATGAAAATTTAAAAGAATCTAATCATTAATGTTGTCTCTATAAAATATACATAATAATATGTACTAACATTTTAATAAAATATATATTAGAGCGTATTGTTTGCCCTCTTTTCCTGATAATGAATGGTATCAATTAAGACATGCTTTTTTTATTTTATTCAACTTAAAATTCAAAATTTGTGTACCTATTACAGAACTCGTCGTATCGTCGTACCTTGTTTTATCGTATTGTGAATTTTTAATGCATGCCCATGTTATTCTTTTATACCCAATATCAATCAACACTCTCTACTTAATTATATCTCTTCGTCTTAATATTTAAAACCTACATTCTGTTTATAAATTGCATTATAAACTATTTACAAATAACATTTTTTTATTTATTGACAGCTTTCATTGGTAAAAATGAATACAAGTTCTATATTTAGTTTCTTATTTAACAATTTTTAGGTTAAACCCTAAATGGTTTTATTTTACCGTCGATTGACGGATGACTAAAATAGTATTTTACGAATAATGATTTAAAAGCAAATTTAACTATATTCGATGTTAAGCTTTTGTTAAATACTTCTTATTCTTTCGGCCTCGTACTAAAGCGATTTAAAAGTTGTTGGTAAGTTCTTTGAAATGTAAATACTAATTCTAATAACATAACGATTATATTGATGTTATATGTATTTAACTTATAAATACGTAATAATAATAAAAACTAGAAAATAAACCGTGTAGCGGTGTATTCGTAGTATCATGACGTCGATAAAAACTTTAGTATCTAACGTTATGTACAACGACTCATAATTCTTACATAATAAGGTCGACATTAGATTGCGCCGGAGGTGTATGTGTTAATAACTTTATGCCTCATTGGCAGGTTACCCGCTACGCTATATATTGCGTCAAGTCCCGCCTTATACATAGAAAATTATCCATATTGCCTTCAACAGTTGCGTAATGTGTAAAATCCATGTATGGTTATAGATCTTGTCGTTGTTGCAGATATGTTGGGAAGTGGAGACGAAGCAGCTGAGACTCGTAGAGCGTGCCGCTGCAACAGAGGCACGAGTGGAGAATATGCGTTGAGAGAAATGCACGTGCTGCTGAGCGCGTTGCACGGTGTCGCGGACAAGCTCCAACTCATCAACAAAATACAATTACCCAAGCTCAACAGTGATCTTGCGCACCTCAAGTCGGTCACGGATCGCATTATGCAGCAGAACGAACTGATTCTGAATAAAATGGACGAACTAAAAGCAAAACGAGGGTTGCAAATCAGAAGCAGGGAGGTGAACTTTCTACGAAAGTCCGAATTGTCACCACGGAGTAAGATCGAACGGAAAATAGAGGGTCCGAGAAGGAAAGTAGAAAGAACAGAAAAGAGAGCAGAAAAATTGGAACGGAGAGCGGAAAGACTGGAACGAAGAGCAGAAAGACCGGAGCGGACAGTGAAAGCGGAAGTTGAACGGTTTCCAGATAAAATGGCGGAACGACTAGTACGGTACAGAACGCGCCGCCGAGCCTGCCCGTTACCAAAAATGTTTCTCATCCTAAATAAACCCCTCAACAAACGAAGGCGACGGCGTTAGTAACAAGTAGCTGCATAGTGAATTTCGTTATGGATTTGTGTCGTTATCAAGAGCTACACATTTAATAAAACACTTAACGGTTTTAAACGTGATGTATATTCGCTTTGGGATGCTTTGCAGCAGGCCAGGAGAGTTGTAGTTGGAAATAAGGCATCTTATATATTTGGCGATTTAAACCACTTAAAGTGTTTTATAAAATTGGGATTGAGTTAAAATATAGTAAACTACAATTCCATCAACCACTGTTATCGTTACGTACAAGGGGCACAGTAATGATCTAGAAATTAAAAAGTGTTAGCTGACCCATCGTTTTATTTTCATACATATCTATACTAATATATAAAGCAGAAGAGTTGGTTTGTTCGTATAAATTTTGATGCATAAAATAACTATTTACGCGGAAGAAGTCGCTAATACAGCTAGTTATTAAATAAAATCTGAGAAGGTGATGAATTCATATAAACCAAACGTGGAGTAGGTATGGGGCAAACATATTTTTCAAATAAGATCATCTTGAATCAAGAACACTCCTGAATAAATCATTTATTTAATACAACAAAAAATTCAAGTTTTATGTTCGTAGTACTAATGTAAGTGGGATTTGATGACGTCTTGGCATGAAGTCTCCGGAGTCCACCACCGATCAAATTCTTTGTAAATAGAGATATTGCGGGTTGCTGGTGAATTGAGCGCGGCGCACAGACTGCATACTGGATCGGTCTCCGGATGGATATTTGCTGCTCTAACACGATACATTCCTCCAACGCCCCCACGCCACCAGAAGTACCTTTCGTATTCTTCACGATTCTTGATCGCTGCGGCCATTTTCTCCACTACTTTTTTTGGTCCTAATGTGGCTGCATCGATATATGAATCGGGCGGCAAGAACCTATATAAGAGTTAATATACTGCTACATTATAAAACGTAAAGGTTTCAAAAAGTAAGGTTATTTAAAGTTATATGCGTTTCACAGTCCAGTTATATTTGCAGACAAAAAGAGAAGCTTACTACCATGTCCTGATTAACCAAAAATTGATTGTATTTTTGGGATTGGTACTCAGGACCTCTCGCGCTGAGCAACACATCTAATCATTAAGCTACTGAGGTAATTGTGTATTTTTCGTTCTCTCTTTTCCTTTGTGTTATTTTGTTTTCTTTTATTTTAACTCATTGCATACATTTCCTTCAAAACATATAAACTTTGTTAAATGACATATACGTACATTGAAGAATCGATGTTGTTGTTCAAGTACCTAATAGAGACAAATTAAAAAAATCAAAACTATGTCAATCTGATCTATATTCTCTATGAGAAGCTCCTCCGTTGTATCGGTGCCCCTAATAGAAAAATAAGTACTATTACCTGCTATAATTAGCACCACCGAAGACAACGGGCACTGTGTCATGGTTGAGCGCGTGCAACACCTTCTCCGTCACGTAGTCCACGCTTAGCGCGTTCTCAAACGCAAAATAGAAGAAGTAGTCCTTCCCCATATCCTCGAGGCACTGCTCCATCGCAAACAGCGGGCAGTACTGCCTCCCGCACTCACCGAACGTGACCAGGCGAAGCTGGAATATGCGCATATACTCTTGAAGATCTTTCGCAAGCACCTCTCGCAGACTCGCAGTATCGCAATTGGATACATACCAAGCGACTGCTTTTCTCTTCCCCCTCAAACGTGCTTTCAAATCTTCACCCAGAGATTTTACGTAGTCCAGACCTGGGTCTTTCTCCCATCGTACTTCACGGTTTGGTGCAATGACATGGCCGCTTGCGTTAGTGATTACAAAATAAGACCAGACTATATCTGAATCGAGACGGTACGACCAGGTCCAGTTGAAATATCCATTCCAATGGTCAGTACAGACAGGATAATTGGCGGCCGACTCGATGCTGAAGAATATATATTTCTGGTGAGAGGAGCGCCGTCGCGGCATGTTATTAGTGCTACGCAAGTATGACAGTGAGGGCCCGTTAAACACCACAGCATCGAACTCCGTATAGTCGCTCAAAATGTTCCTGTCATTTGTAACATAGCAATTTGTCCATGAACAATTCTTCTCTTCGAACACTGAACGCCCCGTACCAAAGTCCTTAAACGGTGGCTGTTCAGAATCAGACCACAACAGTACATAGCGAAGATCGTCAAGGTCCTCTCTGGCAGGTTTATTCGTTCTATTATCAATTTTACTGATATTACTAACCTTTATTGTATAATCCACTTCATATACATTCTTTATATTGCTCACATTGATTTCGTAGTAAATGATAAAGAGAAGAATAAGAGTAAGAGTGCAGTATGATCTTCGTGTTAGGTATTTGTAGATCAGTGCGGGTGGTAATGATCGCATCGTACATCGATCTGCGCATAAGAATGTTAGTAAATGCAATTGTTCGAGGAATTAGAATTACAGGGATGTAATTATGTAGCGAGAAGCAATGAAATATATTTGAGGTGACTTTATTGTTTATTCTTCTTATCTTTATCATGACTAAATATGATAATTATATATTAGAAAAAAATTCATTGAGTATGTTATCATTATAATAAGAAAAAAATATATTTTTCATTATAAAAAAATAGGTTACGGACTTTCTTTATGGCAGTACCGACTACGACCGATTTATTTTTACTGTATTACGAACTATTTAAAGGAAATTGCTTATGTAGAATTAAATAACTGATTAGTTATCGATAATGATTGGATTAAAAAATCAATTCAATTAAACAAATAGTAAAGGGAAAATTTAGGGTTTTATTCACTGTAGCAATAAGAAAAATAGGGGTGGAAAAGTAGGACCCTTATTACTTAGAGGTATTAAATATAGATAGTACCCGAAGACACGAAAATTTGTATATAATAGATTATATAAACTAAGACCGCAATAGACCGATATATAATAAAAATATAGAATTGCCGACTGCCCAAAAATAAAAGCATAAATAATGTAATTGATTGGGGCTTTGCATTTATCGAACCTGATATGCGTCAAGTACATATCTGCGAAACGAAATAAACACCATTCTTTGAAATTCTGCAGATCGAGGAATTGTATCAAATAAGACATTGACACGTGTTGTGTTGTATATACCTAATATTCATAATAAATTTTAGCTACAGGTTGTACTTTGGCCGGATTCCATTGAGAGCATGAGACGCTTTTTTTTACTTAGACGCACTTTAAACGGTTTGAAACGCAAAATATATTAATAAAGTACTCGTGTTAAGTACAGACAGTACTAAAATTCTTTCGAATTACTTGTCTTTACGGTCTTCAAAAAATTTAATCTGTTATAATACTGGGTTTGGGTTGATTCTTGAGCCAGGGGGATCATGGCTTCAAAGTACGATCAGTTATTTCAAAATAATTTGTCAATTTTTAAATGTTATTTTAAAAATATCAAATTGAAAAAACGATCCTTTACAAAACATGTTTCGAAATGTATTTAGGAAGCTGTTATAACTAACGCAACATTTAGCATAGCTGGCATAACTTTAAAATTCAACAAAAACCAATTCACTAAATAAGCAGATTAAGATACCCCTTTACACAGAGTTGTTGAGAAAATGTTGTTTTAATACATTTACTTATTTATTTTTAATATAGGTATTTAATTAGAAGTTTTTTGCGACTTTGTCCGCGTAGAAAAGTTATACATATTAGCCGTCAAAATTTGTTTTTGCAAACGTCCTCACATTTATAAATTGTACCTGTTACCCACGGCGAACCAGTCGTTCCTGATATTAGCGCGTTCAAACATATATAAGTGATATATAATTTTATAATAAAAAAAAACAGAGTATTGTTAAACAGTGTAATGTTATTAAGACAAGTTAACATTAAAACAATACATTTAAATCTAATAATAATAAATATATAGGTACTTATATAATCCAGAAGTCGAAACATACAATTTTGGTTAGTTTAAATAAAATAGATAAAGGCACTTATACTTAATACAATATTATAAACTATTAGTAGTACTTAAGTGATTAGTGATGAGAAGAGGAAATAAAATTTAAATTAAATATATTTTAGGCGACAAGCAAGTAACCTGTTAAAATCGAATTGTCAATTCAATTCAATATTATTACTATAATGTATTATATTGTACTACTTATAGCTAATTAAAATGTTTTATAATGATTAGCAGCGTGGTGGATGTTTAGCCCCAGACGCGTACACTTTGGTCCCACGAGCAAGATGCTAAGGCGATACCGTTTGGCGCAATTGATATAGATGTGACACGATTTTCGTGGGCGTTCAGAGTACCTGCCAACAGAAAATTATCATAAAGGAGATGTAGTCAAAATAAAAAATCATTTATTCGCATAGGTGTAGGTATACTTATGAACGTCACGTCAGTCAAAAAATAAAGACTCTAAATTTACATTTACTGCCAGTTAGCCCTTAAGGAAAGAACGTGAAGAACTGGCAAAAAACTCTTCGCCCCTCCTTTTAAACTGTCAAATTTCATTTTACAGTCTTCACGTACTTTGAGTGCAGTACAGATTTTTTTTTATTTGAGCGGGTTCCTCCAACCAAGCATTTTCATCGTTTAAATATTGGCTAACTTTATAATAACCCTTTCCAGGCATTTTTTGTTTTAGATACGATTTAAACTTATTCATAGATAGTGCACTTCACTTTTATTAAAATGTCGTATGCAATTACCTAGAAAAGAATTACTACTTTTATGGAGCCTTATGTTTGCGACACTTATTTTAACCTTAATTTCGTTTATTGTACTAATGAATCTACCGATACTATTAAATGAAACTACCGTTCCATTTAAAAGTATCTGCATTTTCACTTAGATTTATAAAATAGAGAGCAAAGTTTGTTTACCAACTATCTGTCACGTGCTTTTTTCAGGGGAGTAACCGATTTTATTATGGCGCACGCATTTGCCTTGGAGGAAGTGTCGCTGATAAAGCTTAGAAATAGCTGGTGATACAGCTTCGTCTTATACCAAATTACTTACCAGTATGAGCAACTTTAAGCGTGTCCCATGAATGGATGGAATTGTCATCTGAACCAGCTAACAAATATCGACCGCTGAACGACAGGCCTATAAGAAAAATCTAAATTAGACGTCTATTTATGTAAAAGTTATTTAAATAAAACAATTTAACGGCTTAAAACGCGATGATTAGCTAAACTTATTTTAAAATTATTTTAACTATGGCAGCATTTTTTAATTTGACGTCAGAGACACCCACATTTTTAGTCTCACCACGGCTGGTGTAAAGCATGCAAAACGTCGCGACGTAGTTAAAATCATTTTCAAATAAGTTTAACTAAAATACATCATATTGTGTCCTACTCGCATAATCTGTAGTTTACGCGAGTAGTAGTTTATGTGAATCATTTTTACACTCCAATGGCTTGACCGATTTTAATATCAATTGGTTTTACTTTGTATTCTTCTTCCATTAATTATAATTATGTTTTATTCTATAGATTATATCAGTGGTATACATGAAATAAATAATTAAAGGAAGTCATGATAAAGGCTTCTGCAAAGTATCAACCAGCAAACTGTCAGGGCATAGTTGAAAATATTGATCTTACCCGTTAAAAGTGTTTTAGCTAATGTTAACTGCTAGTGAATAAATTTACACGCCGTATCTCTTTGATTCATATGAGGAAGAGGCAAATTGTATTGTATGGCATGTAGTTTGTATTTGACAGCGTCTTCAAGAATTAACATACCACAGCTCGTGAATCCAGCATTGCCAGGTGGGGTGTAATGGCCAAGTTGCTGGTCACTTCGGATGTCGAAGAGGCGAGCTGTCTTGTCCTCCGAAGCAGTCGCGAAGGCTTGACCGCCTGGGTGATACTAAAACACAAATATTGTTAAAAGCTCTGGTAATGCAAGAGGCTTTAAAATCAAATTATCCTACTAATATTGTTAGTAAGAAAGCGTTGGTAGTCTTTGTCGCGATATTGCTTAATAAAAGCATCGGGCGTATTATACAAAATTTAAAACAAATGTAATTGTATATAATGATGAAACCGGTGTGAATCAAAGGCAAGCATTGGGAATAAGTCATGAAAAGATAATAGATTTCTATTGTCATCGCTGGTATGCCAAAGCGAGATGCGAAGAATTCTGTTTTTATTATTATTCCTATACTTGTAGCTGGATAAAACTACAATAACCATGCCAGTATTTTAAAACATGTAATACATTTCTATGCTTCATATGTTATTTGAAAATAATAAAAAAATCTATGTTTTATCATTACTGAATTGATGTCAGCATATGGGAAATCTATAACTCTTATTTAAAAAGGCTTACTTACACAAACGCTGTTGACATCCGCCTCATGGCCGAAGAATGTCTGTTTTTCCTTTTCAGCTCGTACATCCCAGAGCTTACATGTACGGTCCACGGATCCTGTCACAAATGTCTTCATATCTGCAACAGACGTGTAATACATAAATATGCTTTGGATAGTACAATGGCGGACGACTATTCCATTGTTGAATTTTATTTTTCATTCTTCAAAAGGTCTTGTCATGTCTTCTTTCGTTTGCCATAAAAAACGCATTTATTCATCTCCCGCCTATTCTAATTAGAGAACCTTTTACCTGGTGCAAGCGAGATGCTTACAACATCACCAGCATGAGCGTTGAAGTCCACCTCTCGCTTTCCCGCTTCCAAGTCCCAAACACATCTAGAACATAACATAAACAGAAAGAATGTGCAAGAGATGCTTGGGGCTTTATTAATATGTAACTTGTTACAAACATTTTCATATCACCAGAGCCAGTCATTATGTGAGTGTCGTCCAGAAATCGGCAGCTGCTGAGAAATCCCTCGTATCCAGCAAGCTCACGTACCATTTTAGCTGCTCCGGTTGCGTCGCGGTTGTTTACGTCATAGACCGTGCACATGTTGTCCATTCCACCACAAGCTGTGTATATGTTGTCGTTAGATTGGAAACTAATAAGATCTACACTAATATATAAAGCTGAAGACTTTGTTTGTTTGAACACGCTAATCTTAGGATCTAAGTATTAGATTTCGAATTGAAAAAAATATTTTTATGTTAGTTAGAGCATTTATCAAGGAAGGCTCTAACAACGCCTGACTAATACAAGCGAGATACAGCGGGAAATGTGAAAAATTTTGAGTAAATCATTCCATGGGTTTCCGAGGCGTACGCTGCAAACACGGTTCAAGATACCCAAAAAAGATGTATGAGAGAATGATTCTGAGTGGGTAGCAGCTTAAGTTTATAAAGAAGAATGAATGAGTTTGCAAAAACCAATTTGGATACCCAAAGTCGCTGGCACAGCTTCAGTTAATAAACTGTCAATACAACAACACATCATGAGGTTCTAGATTCGAATTACAGGTCATCTTACTTCCTTACTAAGAAATTTTATTTTCTAATAGATTATTTTTACAAAAAAATATCAATATAGAAATATGGATAGAATAAAGAATATGTTACGTTACCTTACGTTTTTATTGTTAATATATGATTTTGATTATATTTTAAAGGCACCGTGTCGCATAACTTTCATAGAAATCGATATAACACTTTCAGTTGATTTATTTGTAATTCTTACCAACGAAATTTCCCGAAGGTGCAAATGCGACACTCATCACCCAAGCTGATCGAAGAGGAATGACCTGCACCTTGTTACCGCTCCAAGTATCCCAGATGATCAATTTGCCATCCAGTGAACCAGTTACACAGTGTCTGCAAAGTGCAAGCAAATTTAAATGACGTACGAAATAGTCACTACAGGGTTCTCAATACCCCCAGTACCCCTCTATTCTTCTATGAGAATATAGGTCTTAATACGGAATGGTGAATAAATGAATACAAAACACAAGGCCTCTTAATTTCGCGTATTGTGCGTTATGTGTGTGTGTAGAACGGGGGTTGGTGATCTATTTGGTAGGTATTGGACTATTGGCCCACGCATTGGTGCAAGATCCGTGTGGTGTCGGTTTTTCTACGCAGATCAAAGGGTTATGGCGGGATTGTGGCGGTATGCAGAGAAAAAATAAATCGCAACAGCCGTCAAAACCTCAATATCCATTTTTTCGTCCGCACATTGGTCCGAACCGAAACATACTGATTGACCGTCCAACGTGTGGACGCCATCACAATCTCTCGGCCAAAATCTTCGCCATCGTGTAGAGCCACCATAAGAGAAATACTATTGAATCACGACCAGGAATCGAAAACACAAAACAGTTTGTAGTAATCTTAGGTTTGAAAATTAGAACCTATTGCGCTTGATTTATAACAATAATAATGAATAACTGACGTGTGTGTTGATGTGGGAGTCCCACTCAGATCCCACGTGTGGGCTTACCTGGAGTCACCGCTGTAATGAACGGAGTTAACTTTATTGATGTGGCCCTTAAGACTTTTCTTGACAACAAGTCTTATGCGCTGTACGTCACCCATGTCGCCGCATTTCTCTGCTAATTTCGCGTCAGCTACTTTCTCTTGATCAGCCTGGTTAAAGATATGATGTATGAAAAATGACATTTACTATTTCAAAAAGTTGCAAAAATTATATGAAAATTTTCTACCGCTGTCGTTGTATTGATTGCTTAGTCAGGATGTGCAGAAGGTAAAAACATACGCCTTTACATTTACACCGCAGGAAAGCTATATGAAAAGTTTTTCTGATCACTTAACTAAATTAAAAAAATAGTGTGTTTATCTGCAGACAGAGGGAAGAGAAAATATTTTGAATTATTCCAAAATAACTACTAAACATTGTTTTAAAAATTAGGATAACAGGAAATTTGTGTTTGCAGAATTATTTCCCCTTGAAGCCGATTACTGACCAAATTGTTGCGGTTTAAATAAACACGTTACAACGAGCATTCGAGTTGATTTCGCTTTAAAAATATGTACTGACTGAAATGTTCGATATAACATGTTACGTAACACCATGAATATTTGGTCACTACCTGGCCGTATATTTAATAGTTCGCTATAGCTCATTGGTATCTTTTCAGGTTGACCCACTACAATCCGTGGGTGGACAAACATAGTACAACAAAAATAAGCTGATTTAATAAAAAATGCGGGGAAAACCACGCGGCGCAGCTGACTATACGCATGTTTTAAATATTATTATTGTACTGAAAAAATGGTGCGCTTCCTACATTTACCTTGCATTTAGCAATAAGATCGTTAAGCTCCTTCTTGAGGGCCGTAGTCTCAGCATCGTCCTTCGGCATGGTGGTTGTTTATCCTCGTGCACCAAGAACTAACTGCGGAACAGCAGAGCATCTCGCCCCGCACCACTTTAATTATATTAGTGTAATTACATTAGACGGAAGCCTTACTAGATCAGTTTTTATCCACGATGCGTGATTTTGACGGAGCTGCCCTAGTGGATGTCGCTGTAGTGGGACATTGGATTCGAATCTCACGAGGCTAGTTGTAATAGATCAAGTTTACTCACTTATAATAATTGTTCTAACAGACATTCCACTATTACTTGTTGAGGATAGGAATTGCGTTATGCTCAAGAAACAATCGTTTCGGCCAGATAGGGCACAGAAAACTAGTAACCTACTTTCAAATAAAAGAAAACAATTAAACGGCGACATCTATATGTCTACTTTATTTAAGGAGAATTTTTAAATGTTTATTAGTAAATAACTTGTTTGATACTGCTAGCTCGTACGTTTTATTTTACACTAGCTATGGCAGCGACTTCGTTTGTGTAGTATAGTTATTTAGGGAATAAAAAATTGTTTTTGCAAAAATTCTCTTCTTCTTTACATAATTTACCTCTACGACGTCACCCGAGTCCCGTCGTTCTTGCAAGTTAATCTTAAATGATAAACATATACTGTGGCGGACATTTTTTCATTGTTTAAAGAGAAATTATCCTTTTATATATATACTATTCGAGTATATTGAAATCCTAAAGCCTTCCTCAATAAATGTTCTAACCAACACAAAAAGAACCTTCCAATTCGAATCAGTAGTTCCGTAGATTAGTTCAAACAAACTTTTCATCTTTATAATATAGGCATATAAAGTATAGATTGACTAGACTAGATCAGTGAATGTTATGAGAAAATTTCCATTTTAATGGAGGAAATGAGTTACAAGAATTAAGCTTTCCTTGGGTGAAAGAACTTTGGGAAGGGAATAAGTTTTTATACGGGTTGAAACATGGAGCAAGCAGTGACGATTGAGGTCAGCATAACCAAAAAACCTTTTCGTCTCTAGAATATTTGATAGGCTATCGAGGTCAGTAACTTACCGCATGATTGATTTTACTTTCAAATTTTCTTTCTTTTAACGATGGAATTCGGATGGTCTCTAGAATTTTCTATCCACAGACTTGTGTTAATAATATACCCTAATGTAACGCATAAGATTTATCCTAAACAACTCCTTCTGATGGAATTCGGGCCTGCTGGGAGGGTATATAAGATCAGCTTACGCCAAAAATAATGTATTTTGGCCCGGAGCCGTCAATACTAACCAGACGTTTGGGCGAGCTCACCGTATTTGCGGCTAGACCAAGGGCCCCGAGCGGGGCATCGACGTCGGCTTGGACCACCACAACAAACAGATGCGCTACACGCTCTGCAACCATATAGATATATTTTCTGATCGGAGTTCGAACTCTCGACGTCACAAACAAAAGCCGTATGCATATGGTATGTATCATTGGGCTAACACGCCAAAAAGTAAAATAGTTGTACATTGAATCTCAGTGCTGAAATATATTGTCTTCTACCAAAAGAACCCCGCCTTCGTCTGTGCACTTCTGTCATAATAAAATTGCAAACTTTAATATAAACCTCTCGAACTTGCATAATCTCCAGAAAAAGCCGTTCTACTTTTACTCTGAAGCACTATCAATAGTTTGATTGCTTTCTACAATTTCACGGTGAATTGAATTCACTGTTCACCTTTTCATAACTAAAGTCTCGTACACATTAATTGTACTTAATGTTAGATTAAGATAACGTTTGCCCTGGTTCGAATCCTGTTCACATTAGTCGGAAGAGACAAGGACACATTGTCTGTTGTCATGTTGTTCACATGTATGCCTGTAGCATGTTATGAACAAACGGAATATGCGAATTTTATATAAATATTGAGTTATTAGACTATGACTAAAAATGTTAATCTTGAAGAGCACAGTGATCGTAAATTGTTAACACATTTTTTACACAAATAAATTGATTTTCGCCTAAGTCAATTGCGTATTTTTTTTTTCTCCTCATTGAAAATCATGTTTTTTTTATTATTAGGCTACTCTGTCTCTGAATTTCACTCACTCTGAAATTATTTTCTGATATAAAAGTGATTTAGTCTATTTTATGCTGATAAGTGTGGGACAAAAATGAGTATCAGATAAGAATATTTTGGTCCTCTGACAGCTTTAATGACTGTTAGGATATTAGCGAAAGCTATTGTGACCACAGTTTTATGGTGCTTTGTGAAATGCAATGTCTCCTAAAATTCTGAACACTAAGCAACAGTTACGCGACGTCTCTCCTGAAGGCAACATGATTGTTTGCTGTCTGCTGCCATTGCTGCTGTGTTTGCAGCAAACTGCTTCGCAGCACTGTCATCGGCCAGATGTAGCTTGCGACAAATCTGTCTATCATGGAAAAGGTGCGTATTACATAGTTGGGATAAATATATAATATTTAATTTGTAAAATAAATATATATATGGACAAGCGCGCGTTGGACAAGCCAAGGCTGCTGTTTGATTTTACTTGAATATGAAAAACCTATAGCACTGAAACTCACGTTATTTGGTTTGTTTAACATTAAAAAAACTAATTAAGTAAAAAGAAGATGCAAATATTGAGCTTAACGCGAGATAATTTTGTCTCTAGCCAGAACATCCTCTCGCAACAAAGAATATTCTACTAAGGACTTTTTAGTGACCATGCGAGATTCTAAATTAAACTTTCGTTAAAACTCCTGCAATATCTCAATAAAAACCATATAATTGCAAACGATATGCGATGAAGTGTGAGTACCTATATATGCAAAGGCGTATTTATATAGAGGAAACTATTTTTTTTATTAAAATGTCATTTTAAATCTAAATTCGGACCTTTTTTGTCGGAGAAATAATTAAAGATTCTTATTTAAATGTTGGCCAACCCGCACCTCATCAAGTTTTCAGGCGAATTATGAGCCTGGCAATTAATCATTTACACTTCCATTAAATTGATTGTAAACTAATCTCGTAAAGCCTGCGCAAAGCATTCAATTACTAATTTTCTTTTAATTTAAAATTATTTTCTAATTATGTAACAAGATATCATACCGTCCTTTCGTATACTTATCTTTACGTATATTTATATTTGTTTAACCATGTAAATTATTTATTTTATGTAAAATTTTGAGGCAATAAACCAACTAAGACAATATCTGTGAGAACATATTACATACAACCCGTTTCCTAATGAGTATGTGCCGAAACGTAGCTGTGCCAATTTTTCAGATTTTTTTTAAAATTGTTGATCAGACTTCGCTGTCCTGTTCAAATGTAACTACTTATGGTTACTCCAGGATACACAGTTTAACTATTAAGCAGGGGCAATCATTTTAACAGTATCGTCACAATCAATTACAAACTAAAATTTAATGTGAAAGAACAAATAAGCGCTGAGTAATGATTAATTTATTGTTATTACTAAATACTACTAAAATAATAAAATACCATGTTTAGACTAATGTGTCGAATTTATAAATAGTGTTACCGAGGCCAAAATAATGTTACGCAAATTAACGATGTGTCATGTAATATGAATGCAACCACAATATATTCTTCTTCTTTTTCTTCCTAATTTAAAAGCTTATCATCCGGATCCTCCCTATGTCATGTGTCTATGGAAGGAACCACAAGGCATGACAATTTGCATTTTTTTAATGTTCTGACCACTAGATTTAAGAAAAGTTATGGTTGTTTAAAAATATATATTTTAAGGTAAACATTTTGTCCACACTCGTATTTGGATGGTGCTAAAAAAATAACTTTGAACATATACATTATGTAACAGATAACACAGGTAATAATACAACAGATAAGTCAACCAAAATTATCATGTCATCGGTCAAATTCTTCATGTCAATGTCATTTTATGCGATAGATGATAAATTCAGTTTCTTCTGATTACGTACCCCAATTTAAAATGTATTTTATTTAATATATGCTCCGTTGGTATGAGATTCAGCTAAATTTTCTAATAATAAAAGGAGACAACTGTAAAATTAAATCATAATTTATAGTGATTAACAAATAGACAACTTGGCCTATTAGATGCGTTGCTGCGCCATTAAATTTGAACTTTTGCCTCCAATTTTAAAACAGCTGCATTTTTTTGCATTGTTTATAAAATTAAAATCTATAAACATATATCCTACCTAAGTACGTTGAATTTAATGTAAAATTGGACAATCGTATTTTTTCATTTTGATATAATTAGATGATAGATATTAGATATGTATATCACATTCACGTATTGGTATTGTTATTGTATTCGGCCTTCGGGTTTTAGTTACATTAACAGTGACAAACCGATATCAACAAAACGAATGCGTAATCTGAGATTTGTGAGAGTGTTGTAGTATTAACCGGTGGACATTTGCTACAGTTTGCTTGTGATAATTCCGCGTTAGTGACGCCATCGTAAACGCAACAAAACGGTTATAAGCTTATCAAGTCGGAAGCGTTTTATAGGAACAGTGCTCGACGCGAGTTATTCCCAGTGTGTCGTTGAACCTCACCACGATGCTACTGTTCTACTGTGCACTACTGTTACCCATCTTTACACACGCTAAAAAGTCGGGTATGTATTTTGAATACAGCTATAACTATTTAAAGTTTAGCTTGCCAAAACAATCTTTAGCACCTCATAAAGAAAACTGAACAGTTCAAATATAAATAAATTAAATTATAATTTGAAAATTGTTTATAATACTTTCTACATAATGAATTGCATAAATAATTATTATTTATTACAGCGCACATAAAACTGGTCACAAAAAAATACAGTACATTTAGTTCTTCCTAAACTTATTATTTTAAAATGTATACAGAAAGTGTACTACCCTTCTTCTGTTGTTCTATGTTGTGACTCTAAAACAAGCTGTATTTAGAGATTTTAAAATAATACTTAACAAAATATGTATGTTACAATTCCTATTTGAGTACAATGAATTATTTGTTCTTTTCGGTATCAATATAGCATCTTTTTAATTACAACTTTAATAAGTTTAAAAATATACAATTATTAACCATTCATCATTTTGATGAAAAGATAAATGAGAAATGTAGGTATCATTGACTCAAAAACTGCATAATTGTTTACTTTCATGTGGCTATTGTTCTTGATAGTTTAAGACAATACATGCATAATATAAACATAACTGTCTGCCTGTTTTATTTTCTAAATAATTCCAACAATTTTACGAGAAAACAACAAAGAAAGAAATATGCAATGTTTAAATACATTTTTCACTAACTACATAAGGCCAAAATGATCATGATTTTGCTCTAGCACTGTTTTTAGGAAAAAGTAAATAAAATTAGCTATCATTTAAAAGTTGCACAAAAAACTATAATATAAAATTTACTTAATAATTTTACTTATACAAAATGAGGCATAAAGACACATAACCAAAATTGTCAGTTCCTTAACAGGAGCCATTCAGCATAATGTTTCAACATGGTTATATTGCAACCATTTTCATCCCTGGCACCGATGCGTTTGGAGAATTTATTATTATTATTGCAATGAGTGTCTATACTTCATCAAATTAATACAAGGAGTAATGTGTTAAAAGAATCATTTTTGCTCCAAAACAACACAATAAAAGAGGTCTCTAAAGACTTTGATAGTGGCTAGAATCTAATGATATAAAAATAAACTAATAAATTCATCCAGCTTCTTTGGTATGAAGTATAAGTTCTTTAAGTATATGATATATATGAATTACATTATGTATATATTTATCACTTTTTAATTTTTAATTATGATGTATGATATTAATTTAATGTGGCATTGTTAATAACAAAAGTCTGATCAATTACTTAGGTGTCTGTTAATAAAACAGTAAAACTATGACCTGAAGTCCTATATAGGGCAGCAGGTTTTACTACCCCAGCACAGCATTATACTGTATTTTATCCTGAATGATAATTTCTGTACCTTATAGAGCTTCTGTCCTTCAGCAGGGTCCAGTTAATTATTTCACATAAAACTGGTATTGATTTTGTGGAGACAATATATTTTTGTCACAGTCTGTTTAGCGAATTCACTAAGCGACTTTTTATATAGGTGTGTAAAAAGTGTGTTGTTTCATCTTTGATATTGGGGTAGCAATAATTCTGTCTGTCTTTTGATTTTTATTTACAGATCAGTGGGTATCATGTTTCCCTGGGATTTGAATCTGAGACCTCACAGTGTATAACGCTCAGTTTAAATGGCAATATATAATGTTAATCATCTTTTGAATTGCTTATTATTGCTGAGCGATGTAAAATCCAGATCATTCTTAAATAATGACTCACGGTTCTGATACTGTAATTGCGAGTTTCGAGACTGATTTGCTGTTGTGATGGTGAGGCATCGTGGGTGTAAACATTTTTAATCATTGTTTTAATTGTATCCGTATCATTGTTTAACAATTGAATGTATTGCGATTTTACTATTTTAAATACACATTCCAGGTCCTAAATTATGAAATTTGCTGATATTCTACACAACTCTGTATGCATGTAAATCAGTCAGCAGTTGATCAGTGTCAAGCAAGTGCAATCATAAGCAGATTCAATCCAGCTTGAAAAGAATGTGAAATAACATAATTTATTACTTAAACCAATAAATCAAAAATATTAATTTTAAATTGGATTTGACATGGCATGGCTACCTCGAAATCATGGATGGCCTTAGAGTTCCATGCTGTTGTTATATCAATTGAGCTACTGTATGCCATGGTAAATCAACAGCGACATTTTTTTGATGCCAAATTTTAATTTAATTGATTTCTATGAGCCATTATGTCGGCAAGTCTTGCACAAAACACGTCGTATACAAGTATCTGATAAAACAATTTCACGAAATTAGTCCAATAAAAAGGCGTTCCTGGAATTAATGTACAGTGTTTCGCTCCAGTTTCAAAGTCATAATATTTTATGCGCTTTGTTCCCAAACTAATCTCAACTCTACTGAGTAAGAGATAGAGCGTGTAATAACACCCAGGACACCGGCGAGTTGGGCAGTTCACTGAACTTGTTAAACAGAAATGATTTAAAATGATGAATCTTCTGTTCGATTACTATTTCGGTATTAGGAAAATGTCATATAATATGTAGAGGACTAAATTCGTGAAGTTGATGAATAGTTCGATGGTTACCAAATGTATTTTTCGAAATCCTTTGATTTTCTTTATTCCGAGGGGCTCCAAGCGATAGTCACAAGATTTATGCTGAAATAGATCGCGAATTATGTCGAAATTGTGTGAAACTAAATATTGATATCAATTCTTGTTTCACCTTTATGAGAATCGCCCGCTTAGCATTCATATGTTTTTTTTTAAATACACGTCACAATACAATATAATTCCCAGATGACCTGATCGTGCTGACAGTGGGGACGGACGACACCCACGGGTTACAAAGGTTTGAGAGATCGGCCCGCATTTACAACATACAGTATGAGGTGCTGGGCAAAGGGCAGAAATGGCAAGGCGGAGACATGGCGCGCCCGGGTGGAGGTCACAAGGTCAACCTGTTGCGGCAGAAGCTGGAACAGCTCCAGCAGACGCACGACAAGGACAGCATAGTCATGTTCACTGACAGGTATACAACTAAAACTGTTGTAAAGAAATACATATTTTTCTTTGAACTTGTGTATGCTAACAAATAAACAACATTTTAAGTAGTTAGTCGATGATGGACAACGGAATTTTTATCACTCTGTGAAAATAACCCCTCAGTTTTGTTTCATTTAATTTCAGTCGTACGATATAAAATACAAAAAAGTAGAGAAGGGAAAGAAAATTATAGATAGTTGAGATTGTAGGAGTTATGTCAATAAACGTTGACACAAAACAGGACATTAATTACTATTATAGAAGTTATTGTCCTCTCTATAAGCAGATCAAACATAACTCATCTTATCTTGAGGAATTGTCGTGCTCTGCCAAGAGATGGAAGTAATAGGTTACCGTTAAGCCATCAGGCTCGATCAGCAGCTCTTAAACTCTTTCTTAAATAAGAATAAAAAACTTGTGCCCGTACTTAGGTACATGAATTGCGTACAAAGTAATATTTCGTATTTAGTTTATCGTTGTCAATGACCATTATATATTCTAGCTAATGATGTGGAATATTTTTATTCTTTTACGAGTTAAATACTAAGCGGGTTTTAGTAACTAAGCAGTATACTGAGCAGTACACATAGAAATATGACAAAAAAATTTGTCTGCAAAAGGACGTTACAAAGTAGATCATAGGTATAGGTTTACGACCGAAACACGACTCGTTATAACGACTTTGTTCATATGTTATTTTAAATATGGTTAATAATAGTTAAAAGTTAAACAGTTCTGTACTTTATCAAAAGGTTATCTCTGTACGGACGCAGCCCAAATGATTGTGTGAAATGTTTTGTCATATTTTTTTCTAGTTTATTTATTTATTCGTGGAAACGTCGAAAGATCAAACCACACAGAAATAATTTGATGTTATTATATTATAAAGATAACGACAGAGTCTAATAATATTTTACAATAACTCTTAAAAGTTTTGTGTCATGCTGTGCATGTTTATTCATTTATAGATTATCGGAAGTGATTGAAACGGATATATTTGCTTCTATTCGTTTTGTGGCATAAAAATGACGATGAATTTATCGTGTTCCAATAGTCCGAAGTTCATTAACAAATATGCTGTACCCGACAGAAATCGAAACTACGATACGATAGTTTTATATTGCCACTCTCCCAACGAGTTGCATGGTACATCAAAATAATATTATACCTACTGTCTATAGTTTACGCGAGTAGTACACATTTAAATTAAAACCCGAAACGTCGGGCCGAAGTTAAAAATCATTTCCAAATAAGTTTAACTAATATATCGCGTTTTAAACCGTTAAAGCGTTTTATTTAAATATTATATACCTATTTTACACTAGCTATGCCAGCGACTTCGTCCGCGGAGAATAATTATTTTGAGCGTTAATATTTGTTTTTGCAAACCGCCTCATTTTTCTAAATTATAGCGTCGTGCGCGTTCTGATTTTATTTGTCGTTGATCTTAAAAGTGGCGGACTTATTATTTCGTACTTACGACGGAAAAGGGGATAATTTTTTCGTAAATATACTATATATAAATATAGATATATATTTTCGCTATCTTGAACCATTTTTCAATTCGAACCAGTAGTTCCTGAGATAAGCGCGTTCCAACAAACAAACAAACTCTTTATCTATATAATATTAAAGTACAGGTGAAGTAGTTCCTGTTTAATTGCTTTATTCACGTTTTTATATGCAAAAACTAAATATAAAACCTGGTGGTACGTCTGATCTGGTGAGAATGTAATGGGTGTGCCCATTGATACAGCGCTACAGTTACAGCACGTTCGGGATACATTCGTAAAGAGCTCTATTATTTTAAACATAATTGCAGCTACGATGTGGTTCTGCTCGGTGATTCCCAAGAGATACTGAAGCGGTATCGTGACGTCGGTCATCGTCTGTTATTTGCCGCGGAGCCATTCTGCTGGCCAGATGCATCTCTAGCCAAGAAGTACCCAGCTACCGACATTGAGGAAAACCCAAGCCCCTATCTTAACTCTGGTGGTTTTATAGGTACGTTTTACCATTAAATTACAACAAAATAACAACGGAGCGTCTCTTTCGTTTCGTTCTCATTAAGTATTACTACCAAACACTAACCCAAATAAACGAATAATATATTACTATAATGAATTGAGACCGCTAGAGACAAAGTAGCCTTACTACCATATTATGACTTGATTTATTTATATTTGAGAGCACAATGACCGAAAATTGTTAACATAATTCTTAAACATTTAATAGTATAAATTCATTTACTTTAATTAATTACAATATACTATATTTTAAATCCTTGGCTTCCTCTACTCAATGGCCTATTATCACACATAATACAGGAACCCTGGCTGATATGCTGCAGTTGCTGTCGAAGCCGCTCAGAGACGGCGAGGACGACCAGCTGTATTATACTCAGCTCTACTTGGACGAGCAACTCCGAGCTGATCTAGACATAGCTCTCGATCATCGCTCTCAGATCTTTCAGTCACTTAATGGAGCATTCTGTTAGTTAATATTTTTACTATTTCGTTATTAAACTGAAGAAAATAATTTGTTTGAACGTTATTGGTATGGAAAATTCACATCAGCTAAAAAACAATTGATCAATAGCGCAGTGATAAATCTTAATTATTTTAGATTTAATAATATAAATATCTATTGATATAGCGCTTGTACTACATTACCTTAAAATTATATTTTACATAATATGGTGATGATTTACTGATTGATGGATTGAATTATAAATTTGACAATGACGAAATGTGAAATATGGTTGTTGGGTTCAAGTTTCACAGATAAAATACTTTATATTTGGTATTGTTGTATGTCTTATGTAGTATATAAATAAATATAACTATTTTAACGGTTTAAAACGTAAATAAGTCAATTTATTTCGCGTTTGAAGCCGTTAAAAGTGGTTTATTTAAATATTCCATTACCTTAAGAAAAGGTCTAAAGTTATATATCTATTTTTAATTTTAGCTGAAGTAGCGCTTCGCACGGACGAAGACAAGTGGGCGTTTGTAGAGAACACGTGGAGCAAGACAAGACCCCTCGTGTTACATGGCAATGGGCCGGCCAAGCGCGCCCTGGATGCGCTATCGAATTACGTTCCGCGTGTCAGGACGGTTGACAACTGTCAAATCTGCGATGAAAAACGAAGGAGCCTAAAAGAATTACCGCGCGTCACGATAGCGGTTTTCGTAGAACAACCCACTCCGTTTCTGCAGGAGTTCTTCCAATCCATACTGGATATAGACTATCCTAAGGTAAGCGAAGACTATAAGAAGGGGGATTAGAGAGAGAATTTTCCTACACTTACAAAATTTGTATTATACATTTAAAGACCTGTAAAAACAATAACTATAATCATTACTTACTTAACACGATAGTTTAATACGAGTACGAAAATTGTTGATGTGGGCCCAAGTCTAACCCGTGCCATCGATTTTTTTAATCTGTCTTTTTTTTTTGTCATTTAGATAGTCTAAGACTAAAACCCATTTTCAAACTATTTAAAATTGATACACAATGTATGTATGTATTCTTAAAGTCCATATAAAGCTTTGGTCTCATGGAGAATCATAGTAATAAGTAGGGACGGAAAATTAACGACAAAGTGTAAAAAAGTCTTTTAATATATATGATAACTAACTGTTCTCATTCGTTCAGGGCGGAATAAAGCTGTGTCCCAGCTGTGGGATATTAAAAGGCTTAGTAAAATACAAGTTATTGATTAAATATGTTCGTCTGCTTTTTCCAGAAAAATTTGGATCTCTTCGTACACAACGCTATTGAATATCACGAAAGCGAGGTTGAGGAGTGGTTCGCGCGCGAGTCCCAGCAGTACGCAAGCGCCAAGCGTGTACGTGCCTCTGATCTATTGACTGAAGCAGATGCGAGACAGCTGGCCAAGTAAGTTCACTAAAAGTGGTTGGATGGTAAAAGCTTCTGTGCTTTTAGTTTGCCAAGATCCAAATTCAGGACCTCTTAACAATACATTTAGATACAGATGTGGTCTTATCATAATAATATTTTTGACTACCCCTATTCTGTCTCCCCGTGACCACCGCTACTGCAAAGCATTCGAAACGTCGAACCGTAGTTTAAATAATTTTTAAATAACTTTAACTAATATATATCACGTTTTAAACCGTTAAAGTGTTTTATTTAAATGTTTGATTCTGTTTCATAGGGACCGTTGCGCGCAGAGCGTATGTGAATACCTCTTCAGCGTGGAAAGCGTGGCGCGCGTAACACCTGGAACTCTGCGGAACCTGCTTGCGAGCGGGTTCGACGTGGTCGCTCCGTTGCTGGCGCGTCCTGGCGAGGCTTGGTCCAACTTCTGGGGCGCTCTGACCGCAGACGGGTACTACGCCCGCGCGCACGATTATATGGACATTGTCAACGGAAAGTTAAAGTGAGTACTAACTAAATTTTAACGCTATTCTATGATTATCTCTTTTATGATTAGCTATTAATAAGTTAGTAGAGTTAGTGGTTCGTGGGTTCGATTCTAACCACCAAGTCTAACATGTATCTAAAATCAAATTATATTTTTCTGAAACGTGTTGGGTTCCTCTGAAAACTTGGATGGTTGGTAGGAATATTGAAATTCCGTCCGAGCCACGAACCACCGTCCATAGATGAAAAAGTGGTGAAGTTTAATCGCGTTTCGGCAAGGGCCGAATAGGCAAGGGCAAAATAGGTCGACAGCGTATTTTGTTCAGATATTATATGGCTTGTATTTCACCCTCCATCAACAAAGCCTCATGCTTGTCTTTCTTCCTCATTCATATTAGCCAAAGTCATACCAATTTTATTAAGAACTGTTGCGTAATTGTGTACAGAAAAACATATATAAGCAAAATATTTATTAATACCTTGAAAACGTATTCTATAACACGGTATTATATTCCTATGTCAAACTAAACACTGTATTGATTGTGAGATTTTAATGAAAGCTTTAATTCGTTGATTTATTGGATATAACTACATCAAGAAACAATCAGGAACAGAACAGGTTAAATGTATAAAATTCAAAGAGAGAGTCACACGATATGAAATAGACAAGGAAAAAATGGTAAAAGATTATTGCATTATGACACTAATAACAAATTACTACTTACAAATATAACATAATTAGCAACTCATCTAGATGATTTATAGTTGAGAATTGCCCTCCAGGTCAAATATATCGGAAAATACTATAGTAATAGAAAAATATGACCAGATGACTAGAACCTAATGGAAAAATTAAAGAATACTATAATATAATTGTTTGGTATTCTGGAAATAAATAAACCCCGAGAAAACTGTTTAAGATGCGAAATGTTATTCACTCGTCAATGTTAGACACTCTATAAGTGTCTTATAACCCTGCATATTTCGCTTTTTAAACCGTTTTAAACGTTTATTCTAATGCGTACTCGTGCAAACTATAGACGTCATGTGAAGTAATATCTAATGTAATTTGAAAGTAGAACATTATACAAACAGAAAGTCTTTAAAATATTCGAAAACAATATCTTTCGAATATTCGAAGTTATAAATACTCAAAGAAATGTTTAATAATTAAATATAGCTAAAATATCACGTACTCATAAATATTCAATTACATATATAATCTTAAATACATTTAAAAAGTTATAGTTCTCGTTACATTGGAACTAATCGAAGGCAATGGAGAAGTCAGTCTTAAAAGAACGGCGATCTATGGAGTACATGTTATCTGCAGTGCATTCGTAAACGCCAGCGTCCATCTGTGTTGCCGGATCGATCTCTATCTTGGATTTGACCCGATCGTCGCCTATCAGCCATTCGTGGATCTGGAGATAGTACGACACGTTTTCACCATAATCTGACTGCACCATGGTGATCAAAGAAAGAGAGGAAGGTCGTCAATTATTCGGTTAAGAAAACTGACATGTCTGCTCAAATCTGGCACCTGTCCTCTGACAATTGATATTACCAACGAATATCAGTTCTTGTAGTACCAAAAGAATTTAGATATTCTTTCGTTCGAAATTAACACTAATCAACAGTTTACAAAGTTCATTCTCCATTGCATGACTTACGTGCAAGTTGTGGTGTGCTAGAATCTCAGTCCCGTCTTTGAACCATGTCAGTTGTGGCCTGGGTTTGCCCTTGGCAGTACATAGGAAAGCTATCTTATGCCCAAGTACGTATTCAAAGTCAAAGTGCGATGCAAGCAAAATCTTCGCGCCCTGTCAAATAGTAGTGGTCCCGTTAAGTATATAAACTTTTTTATTTAAAAATGTACCGATTTAATGTGAGGGAGAGAGGGATAACTGCGAAAATTCTCCGCCAAGCTCTTCTCTCTCAGTTATTACAAAAAAATTATGCAAGTATTACAAATTGAATTAAATTAAAATATATGATTTATTTCGCAACATTATACAAGAAAAAAATTTGCACAGACAATTATTTGGCTAAGCATTAATCACAGAAACTAATGAACAGACAGATTATACACAAATATTATGAAAACTTACATTATTATTGTTGTAGTATTGATCCGACTCAGGGTCGCGGTACTTGCCAGTGATCGGTAGACCGATTTGCACCTGTAACATAAACACGATTCATAGGCCCTTAACTGGGGCGTGGAACACATTTCTGTGTCCGTTTTGTTTACCGTATTTTTACAGGCAAGGGTGGGTCAAACTTTTGTGTCCAGAATAAAACAATTTATTTTTCGAACTTTGAAAATTCGAATTTAGAAATTATCGTAAGGCAAAGCTAGGCAACTTATAAAAGATGTAACCTTAGACTTGTTCCGCGGCCTCGCGCGACCTCGCCTAGCGTCCCCCGGAGTAAGCAGGCTGGCCAGGACGACCGCCATGACGAATGTCCTCAGAAGCATGTCGTGCGCGTATCCCGAGCTTTGTTTGCCGAATGCGCACACGATCAATTGGCTAACGAGATCTCCCCTTCGAGCGATTTCCTTCGCGGGGTAATTGTTTAACGACCTCGTGCTGGGGCGCGCAGACGATTACGGCCTGGCGATCAAGGTGTTGTCCTACTTCTAGGTGCCGAAGTGTGAACTATAGGGGAGATATCTTTAGCCAATTATCCTATTGCGTATCGACTTTTGAAGCGAAAGGCCCTGGAATCAGGGTCTTAACTTCGCTGTATCTCGAATATCAGGTACATTTGGTACGCCGTTATAATACCCCAATTTTGGCAAAATAAAGAGAAAGTCACGATTTTGGTACTAAAGGTGAAATATGTTCAGAACACATCTGTAGATTCAAAAATATCTTTGGTACCTTGATTTATAGAATAATAAAAGTTATTGCATTCTTCGTGAAAAGGACTTAGAAGTGTTTATCGAACAGACTGCGAAAACCAGACGGACAACCGTACTCGTGTTTATAATATTTGATTGGATTATCGCAATAACAAATTTTTCCGTTATATTAATTTCAATTAAAGTACAAGCCGTGGGGGAGCGGTTTCGGTCTGGTGGAATAACTCGATGAGTTCATCGTTTCGATTCTTGGGTGTGCATAAAATTTTCGTAACTCATACATAATATGTAAGTACATAAAACAAATTTGAACCTGAAATGTTTGTGCTTCAGAATAAAGTTTCTTGACCATTTAAATGAAATACTTTTAACGGTTTTAAACGTGAAATATATTAATAATTTCTTTTTAACTACCAACTACTCGTGTCCATGGACAGGAGCCGTGTCCGTTTCGCATGAGCGTGGTCACGTTAAGAATGGGTTATATAAGAAAAACTAACGTAGGTTGCGTTTTAAACAGTTAAAAGTGTATTATTTTCATGTCCGCTTGTATAACAGATAATACTTATTCTATTTAGCTTAATATATCAACATGACTAATTTTATTTGCAGGGGTATATGGAACGTGCCCTTCATCAATGCTTGCTATTTAATTAATATGGAGCTGTTCCGGCTTCCTCGCCTCAAGGGGATATCTTACAGTCGGGAAGGTCGAGACCCGGACATGGCGTTTTGCGAGAGCCTGCGAGATCACGTAAGTAACCATGTGCCCTTACTTAAAATTGACAGACAATACGAGTATATAGTAATTTGCAAAAATCCTGGCATGGTAATTTCTGCATAGAAGTGAAATACTTCACTCATATAGAATCGATGCTTTTTCATTTGTGGTGGGTTTTGACTCGGATAGAATGTCGATATTCTACAACGTATTTAATATTTATATTTTCCAGAAGAATTATAACATGTTAAACAAATATATTGTACACACAGGTGAATCTGGTGGGAATCGAACCCTTTAACCAAATAAAAATAAAAGGTATACGAGTCCTGAAAATTAATTATTATTAAACGAGTGTCAATCGATCTGTGGTACCATTGTTGTTAATTTAATGTTATTATAATTCGTCTTCGGATTAAATCCCTCTTCGGATGCCATTTTTTTATGTTTTTAGAAAACTATTAAAGTTTCTCACATCTTTTCACTGTATAAATTAAAAATCGATTATAGATACAACAAGGTTCAAGTCTTTACCATATCGTATTTAAAAAAGAAATATAATCGTCTTGTAATGCTCCTGGAATTCGAAGCACGTGCAGTACGGAAGCAGTATGATAAAAGACTATGTCAAAATGTTTCAGGGCGTGATGTTGCACGTAAGCAACGAAGAGTCGTTCGGCCATCTCGTGAACCCGGATACGTTTGATACCCGGTTAACTCACCCGGATATTTATCAGCTGATGTCGAACCGTCGTGATTGGGAGTCTCGCTACATTGCCCCCGAGTATTGGAAGAGCTTTGACGAAGGCAACGACCCAGCTATGGTAATAAAACTTGATAAGCCTTTTCCTACTTGGGACTTGGGGCGGGCATATTTCTATTGTTATTTACGACCCTATCCCTACTTAAGACTTGGGGGGGGGGTAAATATTTCTTTGATCCTTATTATATCAAACAAGAAGTGAAGTCAGAACTTTTTCGGATGCTCAGCAGCTGTGGTCACAGGGGGACTACAAAGCATTTGTACCGTCGGACTATGGTTTACATAAATTCTAAATAACTTAACTAATACTCTGCGCTTTTTAAACCGTTAAAAGCTTTTTATCAATTTTGTACTACTAGCGAACACTTTACTTTCGTTCGTTGGGACGTCAGTTCGAACTCCAGTCGTGCACGAAAATATAGCTGTGTAGGTTTAGTACAAAGAACTGGTAATGGAAAAATAATTAGGAAATTTTAACACATTATTGTTATTAGTTAAATCTTAGTTTCAGAATTATTTATTTTTTATCAGGGACACCGATAGAAGGATGATCGGTCCACAATATTTGTTGACTATTTTACCTATTGTAATATGAATTCATTAATTAAATTAATTTCAGCCTTGTCCCGACGTTTATTGGTTCCCCTTAATGACTGAACGTTTCTGTCAAGAGTGGATTGACATCATGGAGGCATACGGAAAGTGGAGCGATGGGTCAAATAAGGTAATAGAGAAACAAATTGAACATGATATTTGAATTAATAAATTTCGCATTAAATTTTTAACAACATTAACACAAAAGAAGCTTAATAATAAAACAAAGCATAAAAGAAGTAAAATGGTAAAAATATTGCGCAGGATTCGAACCAAAATACGGCCAAAGATGCGCGTACAATTAAAAATCTAAAGCATTTCAAACCTGTAAAGTGTTTTTCTCAATCGGAATATTATCCGTGTCCCAGCTGTGGGAATGTACTGATGTGACTTTTGTCCAACAGGACACGCGATTGGAGGGTGGGTACGAGGCCGTGCCCACTCGAGACATACACATGAAACAAGTGGGGCTGGAGGTGCACTGGCTGACCGTGCTGAAGGACTACGTCCGACCGTTGCAAGAGATGGTCTTTATCGGATACTTCCATAATGTATGTTTATACGTATACTAATATTATAAAGCTGAAGTTTATTTGAATGTGCTAATCTCGGGAACTACTTTAAAGTGGAGGCGACAATGTATGTCTATCTTTTAAGAAAAAATGGTAAGAATGAAGTGATCGTGGGTAACAGGTAAAATTTTGCAAAAACAAATTTTGATGCCCAAAATAAGAGTTCTATGCGGACGAAGTCGCGCCCACCATTAGTTGAGGATAATTTTACTTCGTTAAATTTAAATAAAATCATGATTTTTTTAATGTTATGAAACTATAGTTTAACACAAACGAGAAAAATATGAATGTTATTTTTCTACTTTAAAGTATTGCGTAAAGTTTGGAAGGTTCGATTCCCGGGAAAACAGTAAAATTTTTGTTCGGCCAGGGCAGAAGTCTAATCCATACGGACTAAGAAATGTGTTCGCCCCATGCCCCAAAGAGGAAAACGAGGTTTATACATTTTATAATTTGATAAGTATTGGCTTGTTTTTGTTTTTCTAGCCTCCTGTGTCACTGATGAACTTTGTAGTGCGTTATCGACCTGACGAGCAACCATCGCTTCGCCCCCACCACGATTCTTCCACTTACACCATCAACTTGGCACTCAACACTCCCGGTTAGTCTTCTTTATCTTATATATTTAAGTAGTTTTACTATCGTATAACTTTTGCGTGTGGCTTGTACGTCCTTCAAAATTCAAGATGTTAGGGGTTGAAGAACCCCTATTTCTAATCACGAGGCCCCAGTTTCGAATCCCGGGGTCGGAGGGAAAATTGGAAAAGTATTTGTAATTTGAAAACTTTAGTATTTTTCACATCATGGCAATATATAAATAAAAATCGATTTTAGGTTGAAAATATTTTGCGACACGGGCTGGTCTCGTTAGCCCTACTGGTAATTCCAGGACTCGAACTTAGCACTGAAACCTAGATAAATATGCAAATGATAATTATTTTTATTTTCAGAGGTGGACTATACAGGTGGAGGTTGTCACTTCCTTCGCTATAAGTGTTCAGTGCGTTCAACTCGCCGCGGCTGGCTCCTGATGCATCCAGGCCGTTTGACCCACTACCACGAGGGTCTACCAGTAACCAATGGCACCAGATATATAATGATCTCCTTCGTTGACCCATAGATTATGATCGGACAGACCTACAGAGCTATTAAATATGAATAATATTGTTCGGGAACTTATATAGTGTTTAATAATTGAAATATGTTCGCCCCGTTCTCTACTGGGGGAAGTGGGAATTTTACTGTTTATGTACAAAATTCAGTTACCATATTTTTTTAAATTCACATATGTTTCTGTTGTTATAATTGGGATAGCTCTGTAGGTAATTGTGTCTGTGTGCAGGTCTGAAAAAACGTTTCTGCGCACGCGCAAAGCATCTGTCATTGTTTAATCATTCTTTTCCTATTAGTTTTATTATATTTTAAGTTGAATTGATATACTGTTAAGAGATTAACGTTACGTATTGAAGAGCATTTATTATTTAAGAATCTCTGCGTGAGCCAATGTTTTGTCTTTGTCGTGTAAGAGTTTTTTATAATTGAAATGAAAGAGACAGAGAATATCTATTGTCTATGTGAAATTCGCTGGTGAACCAAAGAGCAATGCAGTTTACTTAATAAATTTTTTGTATTAAACTTTCTTTTGTTATTGCCTACTGATAGAATAATGTACCCCTTTAGTAGGCTTGTGTCTTAACAGTGGGAACTCTAAAAGGATGATGATGTTGATGACAGAAATATTTTTTGACATATGACATTGATCAAGTTGCCTTTTTGTGAAGCGTTAGAGGGCCTGGGTTGAAATCGAAGAAAGAATATTTTTTTTCAGTAAAAAAAACCGGTGAGTGAAACAGACACAACTGTGTTTGTCCCATGCTGAACAACCAGTAGCGTAGCTAGGTGAACACACTTTAATAATTCATGATTATTGAATAATTATAATGTTCTGTGCGAAATAGTTTCAGAAGCGATTTCTATGGAAAAGTAAAGTGGTTTCCATAGGAAAAGATAGATTACTAACGTTTTCTTGTTTGCACGGCTGCTGTAAAGCATCCGAGTAAGTTTAACTAATATATTTCTCGTTTTAAACCATTAGTGTTGTATTTAAATGTGTACTACTCGCGTAAAGTATAGACAGTATTTACTGATGTTTTATCAAATACTTGCAAGTAAAACTGATCCTGATTCCGTCCCATGCCCCGACAAGGGTAACGAGATCGCTTGAAAATAGTGTTTTTTTATTGAATACTGCGAAATTAAAAGTCCTCTATTTATTTTATATCCCTGAACCAGACGAGTCAGGTTCATCGACCGTTTCCTTTGTTTCCTGTGATAACCAATTGTTAAAGATTTTCGTCGGGAATCGATAGTGTTTACCGAACGCGGGCTCAGCGTATTTCTTGAACCTACGGAACTCTAGTTCCTCTTGCTTCCACTCCTTAGCATCTACATAGGGGAAGACCTTCCTCAACCAATCTGGCATGAACTCATCCATATAGTAGAACCTTCGGCGCCACACTTTGTGCGTGTCGCAGTAATGGCCGCCGCTTCCCCCAATCCAGAATGGGATACTGCAATCGAAACGTGCAATTTCTTTCAATGTAACATGAAATTTAAAGTACATACAAGCAAGACAATAAAATAAAAAAACCCGAAGCCTTTTGTTTTGTTAAAATATTGCCAAATGTTGTGGAAACAGCGGGGAATTTCAATATTAATTGTAAGAAGTTTTTGTCCTCGAGGTAAACGTAGTAGCCACAAGGCTATTGGTATTTTTTATAGAATACACATACGTATGTATACTTTATATCAAATTTTAATTTTTACACAGTTTGTAGTTTTGTACACACACACTTACTCGGGATGGGGGCGCACAACCCGAGTGCTTTCTTCCATTTCACAAGCAATCATCTTTGTTTTTGAAACATCTTTTAAAGTTTATATAAATATCAAACCCAGATACATTTTTGTGTGTCGTAATTTATATGAGTATTCGCCTTAAAATATGGACTCACAGACTAAGATGTCTCAGGCCCCATCTATACGCGTTTGTGTAGAAGTAAGCGGAGATCGGATTCAAATGCGGATAGGGCTTCGCCCCAGAGACGCCCGCCGAAAAGGCCACGACTGTCATGCCCACTTGGTACCCGTCGACTAACACCACTAATCCATCGCGAATGTTCCCTCTAGTTGGCAGTGCTACTTGTGCGTCGGGCTCTGTTGAACAATGAGTTCACCATCAGACCTTTAACTAGCTAGCTTATGGCAACAAACCTTAGTTTTTGTCCCAGCTCAAGCCAGTTTCCGCACTATCCATTCACTGGATAAAGCTACAGGGCCTAGAAAGGTCTGAAGGGCTTAAGGCACAAAGGCATGAATAAATTATTAAGTCGACGTTTTCAATCAATCATATAAATATTCAATACATAATGAAAATAAAGAGATTCATTCAGTAGTTAACAAACATATTATTAAAAGAAACAAGATATCTAAAATGTAATTTTAACTTAAACTTTTTAATTTTTAATAAATAAAATTTAAACTTTTTTTTCCTACGTTGAGGCATATGGGCAGTAGTCTCGGTTGTTCTCCCCTAGGTTCTAAGCAGAAGCCCCTCTTATCAACAACCTGGTTACTATCACATCGTATAACATAAAATAAAAATCTCACCCGTAGTTGGTACAGCCAAGTCTAGACCTAATCGAGGACGCCAGAAAAACGTTCCGGGTACAGCGCCCTGAAAGAACGGATAAACAACGTCATCTACGTGTAACATGGGGACTGAGGTAGACAATTTTGCGTCCGTTACAATTAAAGGTTTTTTAAACGCAGTTCCTGCGCCCTTAACTGAAAATTATCGTTTTAATAAGAGGAAATTAGATTAATAAGACAATTGGGATACATGGCTTTGGAATATATATGCACTGTTTTGCTACCAAATTATTTGTTATAACTAAAAAACATTTAAAACACAAACAGACCCTTAATTTTGATTATTTGCCGGGCTCATTGGTATTTTGACAACAATATATGTTGCAATAAACTCATCGGGTTGAAGGTTCGATTCCGGGTCTACTATTCGTACTATTTGTAATTTTTTGAAACACAAAAGCCTTCGTCTGGATAATTTGGATAGGAATATCGAAATACCATCCGGGTCACGAAACACGGATATTTCACCTTGCATCAACTGAGTTCTTGTCGATCCTTCAATGTCAATACAAAAAATCCTTTAAAAACTTACCCATGCCTGTGAACAAGTCGTCACAAATAAAAGCAGTACCTTCAACATCATTACTGTATGGTCATATTCAAACTAAAGATTATTTTGATGTTTTCGCGATCGTGCTCGTGTTTGTTTACGAATGCAAAGGAAACGTTTTAAATACTTCTAAAATACCTTAAGATTACCATTTTAATGCACTTTTCAACCGCTTTCAAAAAAGTGGGTTTTACAATTAGTCGAATATTACAACTTGGATTTTGGAAGCAGGATGTGTTATTGTGGCTCGGAGAGCACGTTTAGATGTCATTAGTAAATTAGTAAGTGTCGGCATTAGGAGGCGAAATAGTCTGATTGAACATGACAACCTCAGAAACTACTTTTTTATTTTATTCAAATTATTGTATCCGTTTTAGTGATCGATTTTATTAATATCGGAGAAGCGCATATTAATAAAATCGATCACTCGATCCAAAACTATTTACATGTATTCCAGAATGGTTATCGAATCCAGTTCCTTTCGTTTTTCCCACCTATCGTGTTGATCACGCGTAAGCGCGAGAGGACATGAATTTGAATCCTGGAAAAACTAAGAGACGTATAAAAATCTGATCAACTGTTTTAAATAAACTCGAGCAGCTTAAAATCGGAATTTCACACATTTCTATTTTTTAAAGTAAAATGGCAGCAGGTTTTATACAAAGAAATGGTCTTAATTATTAAAATCATTTAAATTTATTAGAATTCACTATTTAGGCGAAGCAACCCACATTATAACTAAGAAAGTCAAAGTAAAAAAATATTTATGTATTTTAGTTAGCGTTGAGGTTTCTGTAATGTGTTAAATTAATAATAATTTCGTTAAATTTATCCATACTAAGAACTTTGTAACTAATACATAATAACACATTGAACTTGTGAATGTCTGAATTAAATGGTTTTATTATTATATACATTAAATAAACACTGGTAAAATACCGCAATAACGTGAATATACATTTGAGACCGCTAATCGTTGTTTTTTTACATCACTTGAAAGTAACGCCATCTCTTAGCGTTGCATGAAAACACAATGTAATCACATTGGCAGTTAGTGTCAATTGCAGTCATTTGTTTTTGTTTGCGACCATTTTGTTTGAAACTACTTTAAATTAAGATCTTTAAGGTAAAAAAGGCACTTAGTAATTATGAAGTAGTATGCCATTTTTTAAAAACTGCATTTAGGCATGTCTTAGGCCTACTTATAATAACTTCGAGTGAGTGAATAATATTTGATATAGTTAATTGGGATTTGAGATATTTTTATGTGTAGTGTATTTGTGAACTTGACTTTTAATATGGATATTTGATGAAAATAAATCTTTACCGCGATGTAAAAAAAAGATTGAAAAATGTCACCATAATGATATATTAAAGACTTAAACATAATCGCACTTTTTGGACCAGTAACGAGTCCCGGGCATTGACTGAAGAAATAAAATTATTAGGCCTAGTGTAGAACTCTTCCACTCTGAACGAGAACTGTTGATTATAGCGCTCTAAGCGGCAATTGTTTGAACTATCGGGGGATGTCGATTGATCGCACCCCCCGCCTCTCACCACTCGCCCTCGCTCCGCCGTTTCACGCGCATTTCACGTTGTACACTTCGCCGCGTCATATGCCTTTTTATAGCGGGTCAATCGCGTAATTCTGTCCCGTCCCAGCCGGATCGTCCCGGGCAGCACCACGTTCCGCCACAGCAAGCTCCGCTACTCCAGCCGCGTGAAGGCCTCCCCTGTGAGGGCGAGACAATCGGTGAAAGCGGCGTCATTGAGCCGCATCGAGAGTACAAGTGGGGGCGGGGGAGACATCAGCGTCGGGGGCGCCCGCCCCGGCAGCTGTTACGGGTACGAGGCGCTTTCGGCGGCCAGCGATGGGAGCGAAGCAGAGGCGGAGTACGCGCCCTTCGACCTGTCTGGGGAACCCTCGTCGAGGGGGTCGTGCAAGGTGAACTTCCCCCCGGAACTGGATCTCGAGCGGCGGACTGCCCCCCCCTGCTTGAGATCCAGGTCGAGGGCGCGCTCCATGAGCGCCTGGAGTGATGTCAGCCGTTCCAGCATTCGATTCGAGGAGCGGTGAGTCTACTTTCATTCATATATCGTGTATCTAACTTAAATATACCTGATGGACTACAGTGGCAATCATTTTCTGCGGATCTCTTATAAAATACTCGGGGTAGACACATTTCTGTATCCGTTTTCACGTATCGATAGAATCTCTCGTGGTTGAAATGCGAAATGTTGAGGATTTTTCCTTCACACTCCTGGAGAAAGTAGTTTGAAAGGACAGTGCGTGCGTAAAGGTACTTATAAATATGTACTTTGGCTAGTTTTTACTAAATAGCTTACGCGGTATAATCGGAGTCTAGTAATGGTTATCGTTGATTCGCACGTTCTGGTAAAAACAGCATCGCTTTCAATATTTTCTATATAAACTTAAATAGGTGTGTATATGTGTGGTGAGTGGTGGGTCTTTTAGGCCTTCTCTCTAATGAGAAAGAAAACCTGTGCCTCGCTGCATTTTATTTTACAAAATCTCTAATACAATACAGACGAAAACAAATAGTACATCTGTTTTTTTACTGCCACCTTATGCTAAGTAGGTATGTATCGCATTACCTAGCATTATTATTCGTGACCTTAGATTCAAAGCAGCGGTGTTTCAGTTGATGAATAAAATAAAATATACTTTACTCTCTTTAAAATTTTAAAAATTGTTTAGATTCGGGAAAAACTTTTTGTTTGTCTGTCAGTGTTCAAATGAGCAACAAAACTGAGAAGAACACCCAAGAAACTTAGTCCGGCTTTTTTAAATATATCTTATAAACTAATACATTGTTGTGAATTTATTAACCTAACGAGCAATTCATTTTACTGCCAGGCGGTCTTGTCACTAAAGAAATTGTTCTGATGACTTGTTTAGTCACTCAAACATATAGAAGAATCTCCAATCACTTTTTAGGGGAAAGGAGAACTAAACATAGTTCTATGTGGGTGACAATACCAATAAATTAACCTTGACCTTATAAGAAAAGGACGGTACAATATAGAGTGATTTACAACATGCGTCTAAAACTCGGGATACAAAGCGATAAAGGGAAGGCGGGCGAGAATTGTATAGGGCGCGCGCCAACACGCGTTCACACGGCAATCTCGTTTAAGTGGTATCAACAATGTTGTTAGGGATTATGTCAAGTTTTGCGCTTCTACACAAGTAAATTGTATTTCACGAGTATACTGATAGACATACATACGTGATTCAGTAATTAATTGAATAACATACATTTTAATCGTTATTATATAACTAGCTGTGTCAGCGACTTCGTCCGCGAGAATCGTTATTTTCGGCACCCAAATTCGTTTTTGCAAACCCTTTATAAACTTAAGCTGTTAGCCACGACGTCGGTCGCGGCCCTTCACCGTCGTTCGTACAAGGTAATTTTAAAAGATAGACCGTCATATAGCGTCGTGGACTTTTTATTAGATATTAGATAATTTAAAGAGAAATAATTCTTTCATACTTATTTTGTGCAGCGTACGCCTCGGAAACCTATATTGATGAATTATTTTCCTATTTTTTTTTCACATTTCTCGCTGTATCTTCGCTCGCATTAGTCACAGGGCAATGTTTTATAGCCTATAGCATTCCTCGATAATTTCTCTAATCAACACAAAAATATTTTTTTAATTCGAATCCGTAGTTCCTAAGATTAGCGCGTCAATCAAACAAACAAACAAGCCAACAAACTCAGCTTTACATATTAGTATAGATTAATAAATATATAGAACTGTCTGTGGTAACGCTATTCTAACTAGTTTTTCTTGGGACATTTTTTAATGCCCAAACTCTATACATATATTTTTTAGCTGTTACCCACAATGCCGTCGCCTCCTGTCGTTATTGGAAGTGACTTTTAAAAGATTGTACCGGACTTTTTTTAAAATCTTTTATGGAATAATCATTGTTTCATACAAATGTTTGGGTGTTTTGAACAGTTTTCGTAGCGTTAATAACATTTCCCCGGTTTTTTTTTCACCTTTAACCGCTGTTACTTCACTTCTATAACTTGCATCGCGATGTTCTATAGTCTATAGCCTTCCTCAATAGAAGCTCTAACCAACATAAAAATATTTATTTATTTGAGAGCTTATTCATATTTTTCATTTCTTATTCATATTAAAATTACCTGTCATAAATCGTTGTAGGCAATATTTTTTTATGTAAAATATTAATTAAGCCTATATAATATCCATCGCATTGATCACCTTAAGTAACAACAAAAGCTATTAACAACTCAGCTAAATGGCCCTAAACTTAAAGATCGTGTAAAACACAAGACAATTAGGGCAAGGAAATAATACATTAAAACTAAAGACACATAAAAAGTAAAGTGCTCATAGACTGGACAGTTGTTACGAGACAAAGACAATTGTGCTTATCACCAAGTTGGTCCAAGCTGGACTCTGTCAGGCCAAAAAAATAAGCGAGGTTGACCCTCGAGGTGGTGGCAGGATAGCTATGAAGAAACTGCAGGCGTGCTGTGAGAGCCGAGCAGAGAGAGCATTAGAAGGAGGACCGCAAAATGTAATATAAATTGTAAGAAAAAATTGTAATATGTACGGTAAATCTCTTTTTTATATTTTGGTTTTACCTGTTTCTTACAAAATAAAATTAACAGTTAACAGCAAAAAACACTGACACGAATAACGTAGCTTCCTAAATTAGATGCCCTAAAGATTGAAATTTTTTTTTGATTGACAGGATATTTAATATTTCAATATGTATCTCAACTCGTATTTTTTTATTTGAATAACTATATTATTTACAAACAAAAAAAAATTGTTAACATGAATACATTTTATAGATTTGAATTTGAAAAATTTTAGATTGTCAAACAAAAAAGAAAAGTACATCCCAACTAGCCGACCCGGCAATCATCATAAGGGATTTTTCCAGGTATTTTTTAGTGTAGAAAGCATGAGACACGAGAAATTATATACATAGCGATTGAAAAATAGTGGCGGGATACAGAAGCATATAATTTTAGGTTCTTATACCTATTTTGATAAACATTAAAAATAACCATAACCAACCATTAACCAAAAGTAATATAATAATAAAATAAAAGGGATGAACAACATTTATCACGACATTACTAAGTCGTAAGCATTCACAGACCTACTGAATATGAATCTAAAATTACATAAAAATCGGTCAAGGCATTTCGGAGAAGTAATTAATATTGCGACGCGAGAATTTTGTAGAATACTAAAGGTATGGGAAATATTGCAAGGCCCTTAAATGTCAAACGTGAAAATACGTACTTAACATTTATCTATCTATCTATACTAATATATAAAGCTGAAGGGTTTGTTTGTTTGTTTAAACGCGTTAATCTCAGGAACTACGGGTTCGAATTAAAATCATATTTTTGTGTTGGTTAGAACATTTATCGAGGGAGTCTATAGGCTATAAAACATCGTCTTGTGACAATAGGAGCGAAGATACAACGAGAAATGTGACAAAAATTGGGAAAATTATTCATTGTTATGAGTTTCCGAGGCGTACGTTACAAAAAGGGTTCAAGATACCCAAAATATGTATGTTAGAATGATTCCTCTTTAAATGATCTAAAAAAAAGTCCATGACGTTATATGTCTATCTTTTAAGATTATCTTGCAAGAACGACGGAAAGCACGTATGGACAGCATATGTTTATAAAGGTGAAAGGTTTGCAAAACGAATTTGGATACACAAAATAACGATTCTTATGGACGAAGTCGCTGGCACAGCTAGTAGTTAAATAAAGCGTGTGCACACTCGCACGCTATAAAATACATAACATAATTAACGTAGATATTACGTTTATATTAGTAGATGGTCTATAGAGGTCAGTTTGTGAAACGAAACTTAATGAAGAGAGGAAAGCTAGCGAGGAATACTTTTAATGAAAAATCTATCTTCATCAATAAGTTTTCCAGCGAAAATTGAACTATAAGAGATGGTATTTCATTGAAGAGTATTTATTGCATCATCATATAAGTTAGTCTCAGTTATGAGTAGAAGCTTCAATATTCAACTTATATATTATTTTTGGTTGTTTATAATAAATCCGAGAAAGGAAACTTTTTAGCATTGTCTATAGTTAACGCGACCGGTACATACATATTTAATAAAAAGCGAAGTTGATTGATTAATGATTTTAAATAATTATTTATTAATTCTCTTTATCTCTAACTAGCGGCCCGTCCCGGCGTTGCACGGGTAAACATATATAGGTATACAGATATTTAAATTATAAGCATGCTAATTAAAACGACCATAAATCACTAAATTAGGAAAAAAAATTATTGCGCGTCCTATCCGTTAAGTCAAGTCGCTGCGAGCGCTCGGCGCTTGACTGTCGTCCGTATAGCTGCAACGATCTTGCATTTTGTTCTGCAAGACGAACAGAACGTTCGACGCTAGATTCTCTGGCTCGCGATTGGGACGCGTACACTCTGATACTTTCCAGACGATCATTTTCAGAAGAAGACTCTCCAATACGACAAACTTTTGCTAACCTAGCTTAGGAACTATTCTTAGATAGCTGCCTTTTTCTTCTAGGCATATTGCTATGAAGGATATTTATTTAAAATTAGAGAAATTAGGAATAAACTAATAATAATACAAAAGAAAATATTCAAGTTCAAAGGGATAAGTTCTGAAAAGAACTTTGACAAATATTATTCAAAGTGTGATTACTCTGAAAATAACGTTTTAAGTAAAGCATAGAAATGTTAAAAAAAAACTCGAAATATTCAATGTCGCTCGCATCCACTGCGTAAGCAGCCCACTGCCCCTCTCTCGTCGAGTTAGTTACTCGATGCGCGGCGTGGCGGCAGTATTTTTTTTAAATTTCCTGATATCTTTTAATTGGAATGTGCGATTTCAATAATTAAAAAAGTCATCATCAGGTATTGAGATAGTCTTATTTATTTAAATAAAAATTTATAAATGGTATAGATAACTTTTGATCGATTTTGAGAGATGGTTTGATTTTGTTCGGCATTTTTATCAATTTGTTAAATGTAAAAAAGTAGTTATAGTGACGTAACTACAATAAAAAAAGAATTATTAAAATCGGTCCAGTACTTTTTGAGTTTATCCGTTACATACAAAAATACAAATCTTTCCTCTTTATAATATTAGTGTAGATAGCTGTTACCCACGATATTCGTATCCCGTCGTACTTTTTAGGATCGTTCTTGCAAGTTAATTTAAAGGGATAACATATAGCGTCAATCATTTTAATCATTTAAAGGGAAATCATTCTTTCATACACAATTTTTAGGTATCTTGAACCGTTTTCGTAGCGCATCTTAAACCTACAGAGATGAAAAAAATCCCCCGTTTTGTTGACATTTCTCGCTGTATCTTCGCTCCTATTAGTCACATCGTAATTTGTTATAGCCTTCCTCGAGAAATGCTCTAACCAAAACAAAAATAATTTTTCAATCGAACCCATACTTCCTGAGATTAGCGCGTTCAAACAAACAAACTCTTTAGCTTTATAATATATTAGTATATATTGTTGTGCGTTGCAACACGTTAAGCGCGAGATGTCCTAGATTCATTTTCAGGGGAAACATGATAAAGCTGTGTTTAAAGTAATGGCATAACAGTTTTGAACACCAACTTACGTGTAGTTTAATATTGTTTTAATGAACGATTCACAGTGAAACAAAGGCAAAGAATATTAATTATTTTTTCGTAGTTTTATAAAAAATAATATATATATGTTTTTTCACCACATTACGTCTTTTTTTATGATTACATTTGGATTTTTTGTTTGCTTGTGATTAGCAATCAGTATACATTCTGCTATTATCGATTATAATATTAAATAAACTGTTTAACCGATTATATTTTCATCACCATCTTTTAAAAGTAAAAACTTTCTCAAACTCAAATCTGTTACTAACTTCGTAATCGATACTTGCAGGATCTTAGAATCCTTGCAGAAATCACACCCTTATACTCGCGTATACAGACAGCACTTCAAGATTAATTAACTCCGCATTGCCAGCATAAAAAATGTAACGTGTGACATTACGACACACGCTTTAGAATCACGCGTCCTATTTTCGTCTCCGAGTGCGAATTGAGATAATAGCGTTTATGAATAATTGAAAAAGAATTAGAGCCAGTATCGGATTGGTGTGTTCCCGGGGCGGTATGGGGTGTAGCGGGGGTAAGGAATGAAGGGGAAGGGCGGTACAGGGCATTTCTGGTGAGTCGCGTTGAAGCGCGGGCTCGGAGTAGCCGTGCCGCGCGACCTTTGGAAGGTCCCGTTGTGGTCTACCGAGTGGCTAGTTGACGAACGAACTAAGTAAAGGCCGTTTTCGCGGACGTCAAATGACGTCGGTTAACTGAGTAAACTAAGTTTAATTGAGTAACTAAAATTAAGTGCTACTAGAGATAATGATATAAGTAAAAATTATTATCAGTAACTAAAGGTATTGATATTATTTTGTAACTCCTCTGTGCCTAGCTAAACTAACTAGTTTAGCTAGGCACAGTTAGTTTAGCTAACTAGCTAAGTTATTTTGCGAAACCAAAAAAAAAAAAAAATATTAGGTGTTAACTTTTCAATTTCACCTAGAAATAACTTTGATTATGTACGCTCACCGCCGCCTTTACCTATACTTAAGTACCGAAGACTTTATCGAGTTAACTAAAGTTTTTAAATTTATATTTTTTAGTTACTTAAAAAATTTAGTATTAGAAGAGTAGTAAACACTTATAAATAAAAATCTTGTAAAGACTTCACACATGGACTTATTAAATAATTTACATTAACTAGGGCCCGACGTTTCGGGTACTTAAAAAAAATATTCTGTAAATAAGTTAACTAAGTATATCGTGTTTTAAAAAATTGCGAGCTAAAAATATTCAACAATATGAGACTATACGAGAATATACGAATGAAGTCATTTAAAGACGTAAATACACATACAGGCAGAATAACCAACATACAAAAAAAAAACAAGTGCCTTTTCTTTATCATCGTAAAAATGTTCTGTCCTTTAAAATGTATTTATTGTTTTTATTTCAAATAACCATATTATAATGTATATATAAATGTTGTAAGTTATTAAGAATGATAATTATCTTAAACTTAAAAACGTATAGTTTTTGCTAATCTAAAATATGTATAAAAGAATGATTCCTCTTTAAATTATTTAAAATGTCCACGACAGTATGCAGTAGGTATTTTTACGGGACGGGACGCAGCCGACGTCGTGGGTGACAGCTATATCTTATAAAGCTGAGAAGATTATTAGCAAAACTTAAATTTCGATGCCCTGAATAACGATTCTACGCGAAGAAAGTCGCTGGCACAGCTAGTAAAAAACCAGTACACAGCGATTGTTTGCTAACGTCCCACACTTTAATAGTACGCAGAGGCTTATTTACATCCAGCTCGGTCCACTTCCAGCCTGCAGGCAGTTGTGAACGGGTTTCATTACAAAAAAACAAGTGCTAGTGTGACAGTTCGTAATAAGACTCAAAGGAAATAAACTCACTGTACTGCCAATGCAAAGACTCGCCTGCGGCTACAGTCTGTATTCTGAGCCCAATTAAAAGAAGTTAAGATTTATCCATAAACTAGCTGACCTGGCAAACGCTCTTTTGCCATTTGAAGTATTACGAAAATTGATTCCCAACAACAACAACGGTTTATGTGAGTCAATCTTAAAAGATAGAGTTATAGTGTCGTGGATTTTTTTTAGATTAATTAATTAGAAGAATAATTTTCTAAATATTTTTTGGATATCTTGAAACGTTTTTGCAGCGTCAATATAGAGAATAAAACAGACAAACAAAGTAAACATATAATCTAATGCGAATTGCAGTACCTACGGGTTTTATATAGTACATGTTGTAGAATAGTAACTTTAGGCCTCCAAATTTGCTTTTTCAAACCACCTCTTCATTTATATGAGTTTAAGCTGTTACCCGTCGTTCTTGCAAATTGATCTTAATAGATCAAGATCATTTAAAGATTAATAATTCTTTTTTACATAGTTTTTGGGTACTGTTTGCAGCGTGCGCATCTGAAACTCTCAAAGATGAATATTTTTTCCGTTTTTCCCACATTTCACGCAGTTTCTTCGCTGCTATTGGCCTCAGCGCGATGTTATAGCCTTCGTCTATAAATGTTCTAACTAACACAAAAATAATGTTTTGATTCGAAGCAGTGGTTCCTGAGATTAGCGTGTTCAAACAAACAAACAAACTCTGGATATTACTATACATAGATAGATACTTTGTACTATACACGATAGTGTACTTTTGTGTTTAGCTTGAAATCATTACGTTCGTCCTCGTCATAGTCAAGTAAATAGCATAATTCGTGAAATGTGAGCCAAATATTTATTTTGTAAATATCTGAGGGTGGTAAGTAACTTTGCATCCCTCCTCCTACAGCTCCCAGCCTCCACAAAACAATAACATCGATTGTCAAAACAACTTTTTGAATTAATCTGAACATTCGATATACAAATTTCGTGTTATTTTTAGCCGTTTTCAATATTCTAAACTTTGTTGGCCAATTAAATGATAATTTCTGTTTTTGAACTAGAATCAATGTTGACGGATTAAAACGTGATATTAAACATAAGTCTACAACCAAAATAGGTCGTCATTATTGCATCTTGTATTATATAATTGGGGTTTTCAGCTAACATCGAGTGAATCCCATACTTATCTCTGTCAAAAATAGTAAAAAAAAGTTTATATAGTATCTTGGCTTCTTACCAGAAGGCGTGGCCACGCTGAGCCTTTGAAATATCGGCTCGAAGTTAACCATCCCTTAGTTAAGTATTGCCTGTAGTTTACGCTAGTATTATCCATTTAAGGAAAACACGTTAAACGGTCTAGAACGCGAAATGTATCCTTTTTTTAGTTATTATCGACTCCGTCGCGTTTTAATCCGTTTAATTTATTTAATATAAAGTAAACAATTCGAGTTCATTCACCTGATCCAGAATAAATTTCGATATATAGATCGCCTGTGCACCAAAAATATCCAGGCATGTCCTAGAACCAAAAATAGGACGCGTGTCGCCTCCAAAACTGAACTTGGCTCAAGTGGCTGCAGTGACTGGCGAGAAAAGGTGGTGGGGCGGGGGGGTGATAAAGAGTACATGTGTTGCATTTTGATTCAATAATTTTTATATGGGATAGTCTTATCCTCCTAGGCAAAAAGTGTACATCAAAAAAAGGAGATAACCTGTTTATTTTTTTACATTTTATAAAAGTGTTTAGTTTATTGCAATCCCGTTTCCTTTAGGACACTAGACAGACATAGTTAATCTTCTACGCCAGCAATAGAATTTTGTAAGAAAGAAGGATTTCAACAATTGTACGAAACGTAAAAGCTTCCTCTTCAAACTTTTGCATTCAAGTTTCAGTTCTTCAGAGTACGTAAAGAAACAATTTGAAAATCTCATACATATGTTTACGTTGATTTCCTTTCGTTAAAAAATGGAATACAAATCCAAAGAGCCTGTGTTCTACTAGAGCTAAGTGGTGTCATAACTAGTAAGTGCACAGTCGGGTATCAAATCTAGACAATACGTTTGTGTAGTACCTACGCATTAATGACACATACATGTATATATTCTATATATGTAATGGATTCAAATCTCATTTTACTCGAGTCGTATTCAACGAATTTATTTCGCGTTTTACACCGCAAAATGTTTATTTCAATACTGACCGTAGCTTTCCACCCTTTTTTCTTGTGAACAAGACAATTGAATTACATATCTACGACAAGTAACTGATAAGAAAATTAATTGAAACCGTACGCGTTGCAATTAATATTTAGAATATTCTTCTAGCCTAGAGCGAGCAATTTGCATTGTAAATAGGCTATCATAAGATTAAACAAAGTAAGAGATTTTTCATAATTACTGTTCAGAAACATGCAAAGGTCTTGTTAAGTTCTTGTGACATAGAAATTATTTAATGAACCTAGGTGCATACCAACACAGTACAGAAGGAATTAAGTAGGACATTTTAAAGAAATTTAATAACAGTGACTGCAAGTTAGCTTGAACTGTTCAAAGTGAGCTCGTTATTAGTTTGCGAGATGCTTAGATTTTCATAGTAGACCTGGCACGACTCTTGGTGCGTAAAACGAGTGCCACTTAGTTATGTTATCGATAATTCTTATCGACGACGAAGCGGCGTTTCAGCTTCGCCGAATACGCTCGAAAATTAATTATACGTTATGCTCATTAAAAATAAATCAACGAATACTTCTAGTAGAAACGCACCGCTGGATGTTTGTCCCTTTTTATTAACGCGAATAATTTAGTTCGTCCAATTAAAGTGTGAAATTGTGGTGAATTTATTAAATATTGGAGAAATATTTAACGGGATTTTCTATTTCTTAAAGTCAAGTAGAAATTTATTTATTCTTTATCTTATTATTAACTTATTTTTTATTTGTTTCAACTACGACGTTACGAATTGCAGCAGTCGTGGTCGCGTATTTTATTAAGTTTTAAATCTGAATTCGATTTTTGAATAGTTTTTCTTGATTTATTTCACATAACTGTAATATTACGATCTGTATTTTCTTTGAAAATTCAACTTCTACATAAGCATAGCACATTCTAGTTACTCAAACATTGATCAATAAGATATATAGTGAACTATTTATGTAGGCTTATGACCAAGTGGTGTGTAGTGGTAGTGATGTAGTGGTTCTACCCACTTGTTAAAGATACTTAGTGCAACACAATCAAAGCGCAGTTGAGTGAACTTTGGCAAAGTAGAATGTCGATCTTTTTCTTTCGGTTCCACAACCTTCGGCGAGCTGAAGAGAAAAGGATGCGACGTGTTAACAAGACGAACATGAATTCTGAGAACATGACTGCACCCTCAAGACTTCTGGAGCGACCACTGAGCCAGCCCACGGACAGTCTGGACGAAATCGCCTTGCAGATACCCAGGTCTGATTAGTCTGAACTTTTTTAGGAGTACACTTAATAGAAGGGGTTCACCCCAGCTATATACGATCTATACAGGGTGTAAATAGAACAGTTTTGAAAACTTATAAGGGCATATATTAGGGGCTAAAAGGTGTTATATGGTGCTATTATTTTTATGGTGCCTTTTAGCCCCCAATAAACGCCCTTATAAGTTTTCAAAACTGTTCCATTTACATCCTGTATAAGCGCATTCGACTTATATATTACTAACAGTGACCGCGACTTTGTCTGCATGGAATACTTATTTTTGGCATCATTTATTATTTTATTCATTAATTATTTTTTTTTGCATAAACCTCCTCAGCTTTATAAATTACTAGCCGAATCAGCGACTTCGTACGCGTAGAACAGTTATTGTGGAGTTCAACTTTTGTTTTTGCAAACCCCGTGTTCAACTCTATAAATTTGAGCTGTTATCTACGACGTCGACCGCGTCCCGTCGTTTTTGCAATTTAATCTAAAAGATAGACATATATACCATCGTGCACTTTTTTTTTAATTATTTAAAGAGGAATAATTCTTTCATACATATGTTTTGGTCTGGTATCTTGAACCCATTTTCGCAGCGCGTACGCAATAGGATCCCACGAGGATGAATAATTTCCCGCTGTTTCTTCGCTCCTATTAGTCACAGATATGTTATGATAATATGATATGTTTTATAATCTATAGCCTTCCTCAATAAATGTTCTAACCAACACAAAAAAATTCAATTCGAACCAGTAGATTAGCGCGATCAAACAAACAACTCTTCAGCTTTATATATTAGTATAGATACCTGTTACCAACGACGCCGATGATGTGGATCACGTCGTTTTTGCATGTTCATCTTTAAAAAAAGATAGACATATACTGTAACAGACAATTTTTTAGATCGTTTAAAGGGGAACCATTCTTTAGTGAATATTTGTTGAGTATCTTGAACCATTTTTGCAACGAACGAAACGGTAACTATAACGTAATGAAAGTTTAAGCCGCATACCGTTGACGTAACTAATTCTATATACGCGTTTGAAATTTGCATAAATCACGGTCATTGTATTAATTAGCTCTAGAACCCTACGGTCTTCTGAATTTAAAATAAATAAACCGTTGTATCATAAATAAAATAGTGTTGGACTGGAAAAAATGTACCTAGTCCTTAACATAATCGTGTTTTATTATGTTTTTAATTTTTATTATTAGAGAAAATTTTAAGTATACGAAGAAGCCTTTACCTACACCTATAAAAAGTTTTGTTAACTACAAACAAACTTTAAAACGTCGGTTACAATTACTATTTCTGCGTTCAGTGTTCTAAAAATGTAAAATGGTTTTACTGTTTTTTTAGGAAGGTACAGTTTTACAGTAAAACCGCCATCACGCACTTACGCCCTTTTACCGCCGCGACCGTCGCCATGATCTTTACTTTGTACTGAAAATACGGAAATAGGATGGCAAATGTCAAATGCTTCGGACATTGCTGTTTGCGCAAAATTGTGACCCGATTTTTGCCACCGAGCTAAATGTTCACCAGACCCCGCGTTGACTAAGTATACACGCATACAACACAACTGTGCCTTAATCCTATTGTCGTATCTACTCTACTATGCCGTTCTTGGATTTGTTTCTGTCGGGAAGGGCCCAAAAGGCTGACGAGCCTGTATCTAAGAAAAATCGTTCAGTGAAAGGGACACAGAAATGCAATGCAAAAAGGGGCACAGCAACGGAAACGCTGGAAAATAAGTTAATTATTTGCGCTTTGAGGCGTTAAAATTGTTTTTATTTAATTGTTAGATAATATCAAATAAGTTACTCGATATGTGGGGAATGGGGCTAATCCAATACCCCACAGTGGTGAAACGGCAGTTCAATTAATAAGAATTTCTTAAAGCATTTATGTCTCTCGAAGCAGTGGCACAAGTGCCCCAGAAGATAATATTGGAACCTCCATTTTCTATTTCATGTTTTGAATGCATGGTTTTGAAATGTTAAACTCTCATACTCTTTAAGGATAGTTAAAGAGAGAGATACGTTAGCAGATTAGCGCCATATCTGATATTATTTTTGAAATTATTTTCCTAAAAATTGTTTTATATTTCAACTTAACTCATTTGATATTATCTAACATTTGAATAAAACACTTTTAACAGTTTAAAGCGTAAAATATATCAGTAAACTTATTTTGCGACGTTGCCGATGCTACAATAAATATTGCGTTTTAAACCGTTCAAGGCACTTTATTTAAATGTGTACTACTCGCGGGAACTACGGACGATAATTAATTGTATTTTTACTGTGTGAATGTATCTCTGTTCCGTGGTTACCCAATTGGATGAAAAATCTCAAAGACTTTCTTTGTCTCATTGTTGCTACGTGCTATTAAGGCCTAGCAGCAAAATAGCACAATACAAAGCTCATATTGCAAAAGCAAATTTCTTCCCCCATATTAGAATAGAGTAGGTTTGAAAAGCCGTATTTATTCGAAAATAAATACGTACAATACAAAGTAAAGTTTGTGCGGTTTGTTTTGGTTGGTTCAGTTTGGTTATATCAACATAAAATTTCGTCTCTTCCATCATAAAGTTAATTTTGTGTTGGCAGCTGTATATGTATTTAAGCATTATTATTTTCACTTTGTTTTGTACGTCAGCTTTATTTTGATGCAAAAAGAACTATTCACTATAGAATAACAGAACGATGGATTGCGAATCGCTGTACCACCCGATCTATTTGTGTTCAAGATTGAAATAAACGAGCTCGTAGGTCCAATGGCAGCAATGTATGGGAAATGATCAATGGGTCGTGGGTTGTATTCCCGACGGGTCCAATATGTTTCTAATTAATTTATAATAATAATTCTCCGGATATTAAATGTGCGGTAGGAATTCTTATCCACCATTCACAGATGAAAAATCCGTGAATTTTAATCGCGTTTCGGTTTCAGCCTGTGAATTCACATTCAAATTCAAAATAGGTCGATAGCGCATCTTGTTGAAATATTGCATATAGATCAGACTTCTGGACTCTGAATTAACAGTACATGAGCCCTGAATTCGAGCCCACGTCTGCTGCTTATCGCAATAGCAACGCGTTTGACAATAAAACTACAGCGGAATATAAAAGAGGAATCGGCTTTGTAATAAATTAAATTAAGGTTGAGAAAGGATTAAAAATGCTAAAAAGCATTATTAAAATATATTAAACTTGATATAATATTGACTCGTGTTTCTTGCTAAAAATCGCTTCAGCTGTTTAAAACTAGTCGCGTCTTGTTTAAAGGTTTTAAATAGAACAATATTATTTAAAACAAGTTTTGAAAACTTTAAACATTCAAGCGGCTTTCTTCCATTCTTACTGTTTTTGGTTTGTTCATCATTTTTATTTTTTGTATCTTCTTCTCGTGCTTCTCCATTACTGAAGGTTGGCCTGGCTTTTGAAAGCGACTGGTGTCCTTTGCGATATGTAGCAATGCCTCAACCGTTTCTATCCCCGTCTGATGTTTCGCAGCCATGACTTCTTCCTCCTTCCAACTCATTTTTGTATCACAGCGAAACAATCCTCCCATATCAACAGTAAAACATTTCATATGTCAGTATTTTTCTACATAAGCACATTTAAACAAACATACTTTTATAAGACGACACAATAAAATCGCTAGGCACTTATAAATGTTTCCATTCCTATAAGACATCGTTAATTATATATAAAGCATAAGAGTTTGTTTGTTTGTTTGAACGCGCTAAACTCGAGAACTATTGATTTGAATTGAAAATTCTTTTGTTTATCGAAGAAGTGACTAATAGGTACGAAGAAACAGCGGGAAATGTAGAAAAACGCCGAAAATTATTCACTTTTGAGGGTTTCCGATGCGTACACTGCGCAAACGGTTCAAGATACCGAAATATGTATGACACAGCTATTATTATATAAACCTCTCTGCCGATGGATGTAGTAAAAATATCTAAGTGTCTTGTCTCTTTCGATATGTTCTGGTGGTGACAACGTGTTCTTATATATTACACGTTTTAAACAGTTTAAGAGGTTTTATTTAATGTGTTCTCTTCCTATTTATTCTTGTCACTATTTGGCTAACGATGTATAATGACGCCTTCGTCGTAGGTCGTAACTCGGGCGATGTCAAGAGACCCTCGCCGCGACAGAACAAAAGTGACCCACTTCCAACTAAGTGGGTATTCATAATATGGACATCTTAGCACAACGTTAACTTGTCAAAACGATTATTAACAATTATAAAAATAGTTTAAGTCCTCTCATACCTAGCGTAGCTGAATTGTTGAACGCTTTAGGCGTTGAAGAAAAGAGAAAAAACAAATTTTGACATTGACACTAGAGTTAGTGAAAGAGACATAGAAATATGCCTATTTATTTGTTTTCTAAACTTTAAATCGAATAGCTGAAACGTTTGCTTTATTGTAAAACGCCGTAGCTGCATTGCGTTGAGCGTGAAAACTGGAAACACCATTGATTAAATAGGGCCAAATGGATTTTAGCGTGCATAATAATTTTGCTTGCCAAGATTTTAAGTGAAATTACAAAGATGTCTTTAATATATGTAGTAATTTATGTTGGGTTGGATATTTATCGAGAAAGTATTTAGGCAATATAACAGATATATGATAGCTATATATTAGCTGCGAAAAAATATGGAAAAAGCTGGGAAAATTATTATATATATATGTATGTAATGAGAATAGTTACTCTTATAAAAGAATATGCGAGTAACAATCTGTATGCAAGTACTCTTATAAAATAATATGCGAATAACGAGTGACTTGCCTAATAATGATTAGGTCATCGTTATTTGTATCGTCGTTGATTGCATGGAAGCATAATTTTAAGTAAATTAATCTTCCTAAAAATTTAATACCAACTACTGTCAGCGACTTCGTCAACTCTATAAATTCAAGGTGTAACACGACACCGGTCGCGTCCCGTCATTCTTGCAAGTTAATCTTAATATACATAGTGTCACGGACATTGTTTTATATCATTTAAAAAGGAATCACTCTTTCATATATATTTTTAAAGGTATCTTTAACTGCTTTCGTAGAGTACGCAACGGAAACGCACAAGGATGAATAACTTACCCCGTTTTTTTTTCTAATTTCCCGTAATTTCTTAGCCCTTATTAATCGCATCAATTCGAACCAGTAGTTCCTGAGATTAGCGCGTTCAAACAAACACACAAGCTCGTCAGGTTTATATATTTATACATTTTTACATTTAACACTTACATTTAATAATAAATTCTCTTTTAATGCTATAGTCTTATTTTCCCTTTGCCTAAAAATACACTTCGCTTCGCCTCTTTCATCATGTAATATCACTCTCTTTTTAGTTATAATACACTATCCCATGCCGCGTGTTGTATGACAATAAAACTTAACAATATTTTCCGAGCAGGTTTAGTTAAGACTGGAAGAAGCTTTCAAACTAAAAAATATGCATAGCCGCTTTGTAAGAGAAAATGTCCTTTCAAAATTATTTTGTATCTTTTGTAAGTAAATTTAAAATTACAATGTGAGTGAGTGAGTGATTCGATTTTACATAGGTAACAGAAAAGAGAATTTTTACAAAAATAACACTTATATATGTTTAAGGAATCTATACAAATAAGTTATTTGATTTAACACTTTTATGTAATCAATTAAAGTCCAGAGTTTTATAACACTGTCGTTTAATTAACTATTTAGAACAACATCTATATCGAAGGAAGGTAAAAAACCACTATTTAATATCTAAACTAGACTCGCTGTTGACCTAGTTGAACGTTTAAAAGTCCAGAGAATGAAATCAACAACTGTGGTCTGTAGCTTATCCGGGCCGTATTTTCGAGATTCCTATCACCAACTTAATATCCAATACTCCGGACGAAGTCTACCTTGCTTCAGAAAAATTTAAAATTGATCACTTGAATCATGCTGGAACCTGCTTGAACCCAGGATTTGTTATTAAAGACAGACCAATGACAAAAATTAACTAGCCTTTATGATAGAGGGGGATAGACAAGCATGTGGTTCAAATGATGGCAGGTGAATTACACCAGCCATCTAACATCTAAACGAGATGCGCTGTCAGCCTATTTTTGCTTCGAATACTAGGAAATCCACAGAAACCGTAACGCGATAAAACTTAACTGCTTTATCTATGGACGGTGGTTCCTGACTCGGACGGAATTTTGATATTCCTACCATCACCATGTTTCATAAAAATTGTAAATTGATCAGAATAATTATGAACCCGGTGGGGATTGAATCCACGGCTTATTGATTATTAGCATTAGCCACGGCTATCGATTTATGTAATGTGACTTCCCGTCTTATATTATATGCAAGCAAGTATTGTTAGTCGATCAAACAGTCGATCAAAGCCCCTATTTCTTCGAGCAACCTGTTAAGTTGGCCAGTGATAATTT